TTCGTACGCCCCGATGTGCTGCTCGTACGATCTCTTCCTTACGAGTTGAGACAGAAGTGTGTTAACAGGAATAATTCACAGCAGATAGGAACCTTCATCGACCATATGAAACAACTAATTGGATTATCGGGGGACGAAGATCTTTTTAGTTTCAAATATGACAAATTTGATCATAGGTTGCAGAAAAATCTGTTTGAGATAATCGAGACACACATGTTCATGTTGAAGTTCTTCGAAGATCGTGGTCTCTCGAAAAAAACATTCAAGGCAGCACCAATGTCGAAATTCGGCAGAAAACATCTAACAATCGATAATGATGTGATGTATTACATTTTGAAAGAAGCGAACAGTTTGAAACCGGGAGAAGATAAAAAATCGTTCATGAGAATAGATCAAACTTTGGAGAACTCTAAGAATTTCAGAAGGATTTTCGACTGTTCGAATCTGTTCAGAGATCAGAGAGAGGAGATTACAAGTATCACGACAGACGGTGTATCGGTTTGTTTTCGCTTCACGTTAATTGTCAAAACAATCGATGGACTCGAACAGGAACCTTCATTGCGCACTACCAAATGGCTTGCCGATAGAAAAAGGGCTGAACGGAAATCGGCGAAGAAGATATCAATATCATACAAAGTATTACATGAAAATTCAGAATACCAAAGAGAGATCGAAGAATGTAAAAATTGCCCAAGGGTAATTGCGATCGACCCTGGGAGGAGCGTCATTATATCGGCCGTCGAACAATTCAGAGATGATCAACAAATAATCAGAAAAAGATTTCAGTTTTCGAGAAAACAATATTATCACGAGTCACATCTGAATCGCAATAAAAAGAAAAGAAAGACGTGGGATCAAGATATTCAATCGACATTGCACTATCTCAAGGGGTTCTCGAGTAAGTCTGGCGGCAGTCTATCAAGATTCGAAGACTATCTTCTTGCAGTTACAAGTCATTGGGAGGAGTTAACTTCGCATTATTCAAAGCGAAAATACGCCAGGATGAAATTCGACATCTACATTTCGAAACGAAAGTCAGTCGACAGGTTTATCCGTACAATGAAAGGAAAGGGAGAAATAGAACCTGTTATCGCATATGGAAATGCAAGGTTCCCGTCTACAGGACGTCGAGGAGAAAGGCCTGTACCGGTCAGGTGGATAAGAAGAAGATTCGAGAATCACTACAGAGTCGTAGATGTTGACGAATACCGTACTACCAAGTGCTGTAACGATTGTGGTTCTGAGCTCGATGTGCTTCGACGGATTGAAAATACAGGGAAAGAACCAGACGAGACCTGTAGGTTGAAAACAAGGAAAAGTGAAGTACGAGGATTGAAATTTTGCAGATCATCGAGGTAATGTCAAGTTTTGTATACTCCTGTAATTCACCTTTTCATCTAACTGTTATCGTGACAGCTGTAAAGGAAAGCCGATCAAATCCAGGGACTTGAATGCTGCACTGAATATACTCACTTGTTTCAATGTGTTTCCTGAAAGACCGAATCACCTACGTCGCCCCTGAGGTGAATTCAATGATTGTTGTCGCCCCCTCCCTACCCAGACTGCGTCCCTCGGGACTCGATGCCTAATTCCCTGCCTGCCTGCCTGCCCGGTGCCTGCCTCCATTATGATCCGATGTTTACGACATGTGATCATTGAAGTGACTGACTGGCATCATTTGGTAGGATTCATGTAAGGCTCCAACAACATCCGAAGACAATTTGGCAAAAAAAAACAACTGCCGTTGTATGACGGAGAGTCGCGGCTCTCAATCATACGACGGCAGTTCTGTGCGAAAACTTAGTTCGTCGTTCAGAAGGGTATTCACATATTCCGTCACATCATGAGGGAGAGTACCCGTGGTAGATAGATTCGTGGCGTTTATCTATTAAAGTTAGGCCCGGAATTAAAAATTCAGTGAGTCCAAAGGCTTGGGGTGGTAACAGGGAAGGGAAGGGGTAGGGTAGGATACCAATTTTTGAGTACAGAACCTGTGTTGATGAAGGCATCTGGATACGGTAGGGGTAGTCAAGGGGGAAAAGGGGGGTACAAGATAGCAGAGTCAGTAATGGTACCTCAAACTCTGAGATATGGAAAGTAACGGGTAGGGAAACAAAAGAGGGGGTACAGTAGTCATTCGTCCAAGAAAAGAGAGCACCGGTAGTATGATATTATGCTAAGACGGGGGGTGACTCAAGTTCAAAGGGGGTACTGGGTGATACAAGAGCTGATTGCAGCAGGGTCGTCGGATCACAAAAGCTAATCCCGGCATCCGGTCGCCAGGGAATGGGGGAATGAAGAGAAGGAGGGCAGGGAGGGAGGTAGGAGGGAGATGAGGAGAGAGGGAGAGTAAGGAGGAGAGAAGAGTAGAATAGAGTAGAGGAGGTGAGAGGTGAGAGGGCAGAAGCCGATACGGTGAAGGGAGAGTGTGGAGGAGATGAGTGAAGGTCTACGATTCAAGTTAGATGTGATGGACAGTGAGCGAAGGATGGTTCAAAAAAGGGAGAAGAAATGTAGCAACAGTAGGGAGAACAAGACAGAGTTGTGGGTAGTCTGGTTCAGCAAGTTTGTTGTTTGTGGATGGCAGTATCAGCCTACCGATTAAGGAAGTGAGATACATGAGGTACATGATAGGACTTTACACAATTCCTGATGTAAGAAGATATCATATCATGATGCCATATCTTGTAAAGGTTGTGTCAACCGATAATGCATTGTATGCTGTGAGAGCCTAGTCTAATCAGAAATGGTAGCAAGTTGTATCGAACTCTTTTGCTGTACTATTTCGTTCATACTGATAACAATTGTTTGGCAGGTTATCGAGTTGTCTGGCTTCCATGGGAGCGTGATCTAAGCATGACTGTCCTTCTTTCACATCAAGTGCTCGTCAGGCGCAAGGCTGATGGGTCAAGTCGACGGGTTGTCGCTATCGGGACAGCTTTGCTCCTTTTGACTCTCATCTTCATCGCACGCAGGGATCACCAGGATAGGGCCGACTCTCTGCTCCTGCAACAGCTGCATGCATTGACCCCGTCGTCCTTGCTAGCTTTGAATGATGGGATGACTGCGTCCCTGGCTGAAAACTCTAACTTGTGTTCCAAGAAGGCTGAGATTTTCGAGAAGTTAGATCAGCTCCTGAAGCGCTTGCAAGGCGAGGTAAAATTGTAATGATCCTCGCGCCACGACCGTTTGACGGATGATTCAAAGAATTCGTTGGTGAATTCCACAGTTGATGATGCGAAAGATACCTACGAGGAGTCCCTTGAGGGCTGGCTCGCCTCGGAATCGAGCTTTCGAATGGCAGCGAGCAAGGTTGAAATAGCCAAGGAGGCAGCCAAGTTCCTTATCAGAAGAGTTGTGGTGAGTTGTGCTCTTCTCGTCCTTTTGGCACCGAGTGCGCAAGTTCCTCTTAAGAGCACGCGTAGGTTGATAAAGAGGTTCTGACGAAGACTGAGGAGGAACACGCAAAAGTTCTTGAGGAGTATCCACAGAAGATCGCTATGACAGAAGACGTACTTGCTCGTTTCTCATGGTGCTTGCAGCACCTCACAGTTACAACAGGAAAAAGCCTTGATCATGCACTTGATTGAGCTCATCGAATCAATGTCGAACAAAGGCAAATCGAGCCAGAAGGCATGGAAACGAGGCGCAAGCGAGCTCTCGTCGAAGATGAGAGCGCTGCAGTCACGGCTGCGCAAGGTATGAATGTTTGCAAGCTATCTTCCTTTCACTTCAACGGTGTAGGATACGTTTCTTGGTCAATCAGCCAAGATGAGGCAGCAGCTGACCAAGATCGGCTTGTGAGGCAGCTACAACAATAGTAGGCAAAGCTCAAGTTCTGTGCAGGGCCATTCAGAAGGAAGACATGCTGCAGTCGGGTGGCTCCAAGGACTCTGATATCGAATCCACTCAAGATGAAATCAAAAACCTCCTCCTCGATCTTCTCAAGGTTTTCGCCGCCCCCGTTGATACATTGGAGCTGATCTCGATATCCCCAGGACCCGGAGTTCCGTGCCATGATGCTCAAAGCGGGGTTGGCAAACGCGATGAACGAGTTGCTTGCTGCTCAAGGCGTTCTGATAACGGATGAAACCAGTTCGAACTTTGCATATGATGATCCTTTCCATGTTTGCTCACTTGTGCTGCAGAATTGACGGATACAACGCATACTCTTGATGCATCCCATCATGAAGAGCTGGTGGCTGGGCTAGCAAGGAGTAAGGAGGACGGCAAGAAGGTCATACGTTCTCGTCTGGTTGGACTCTAAGATATCCTGCAGACGGTCGCCGCTGACACTTACAATGCTGTGAATGCTGGATCAAAGGTGTTTGCTCAAGTGCAGGAGCGTGTAGTTGTGACCGCTTTGCAGACTCTGCTTAGCTCGATGGACAAGCAGATTATCATCATCAACGTCATCAAATCGAAAATCAACAATCATTGCGACAACTTGTTGAATCCTGAATCTCAGCCCGACAGCGCCTCATCGAAGTGAACTGAAAGGTCCAAGGACTCGGAAGGCTCTTCGTCATTAGACCACTGGGGTTGACGAGCCCGTTTGCCGAGTCTGGCGCTACTGGCCGGAAAGGCTGAAACTGGAAAGTTTTTCTTCTCATTCTTCTCTTTGTACAATCAGATCATTCGTGGTTTTCAAACTTTCATGATTCTTTTTTAAAATCTAATGAATTTACAAAAACAAAATTTGAACTTTACACGCGTGCTGGATTCTCCCGCCAAATTCAGTCCAAATCCATCGCGGCCCAAAAGAATTTGATTTTAAATTCCAAATATTCGAGCTCACTTATACAAATATAGTAGACAATTTTGGTATTTTCCTGAGACAATTTTGTACCATCGCGGAAAGTCGCCATGTCCACTGTTGGCGCTCAGCATCTTCTGATCAAGCACCAGGGTGAGATCGAGTCTGCATCCCCACCTCTCCCTCTTCCTCCCCCTTCTCCTTCTCCTTGTTCAAACATCTTTCTTGATCGTCCTCCTCCTTGATCGTCCTCCTCCTTGTTCGTTCTCCTGCTCCTCCTGCTCCTCCTGCCCTCCTGCCCTCCTCCTCGTCCCTTCCCGGCCATCACGGGAACTCCTCGTACTCCTCCTCTTCTCCTCCATCATCGTCGTCGTGATCCTTGTTGCTGTACCTCCTCTTCGTTCCTGTCCCTCTCTACACTCCTTCTCTCCTCTCCTGTACAAATCCTTCTCCTCAAACCGCCCTCTCTTGCTCCCCTTTTGTTTCCCCTTCCCTCGCTTCTCACTTCTGATGCTACATCTTCCTCTGTCAAAATGCCACCCCTTTATCTCTCCACTCCTCGTCCTCCTCATACCCGATTCTTCTCATTTCCTTGTCTCAGTCCTGATGCGATCTTTACTTGTTAATTTGGAGTTGATCTCTCATCCAATATGTGCAAACCAGCTGTGATTGACTTCATCGAACAGGTTCCAGGCGCCCTGCAAGTTGGAAGGATGAGTCGGGAGCAGAGATCAAGAAGAGAACGAAGGAGCAAGCTCGTGAGATCCTTCTCCAGCACAAACAAGCTATCATGAACTCTCCCAACCCCGCACAGAAGTTTGGTGAGCTGGCATCCATTCACAGCGATTGTTCCTCCGCCAAGAACAATGGCAGCCTCGGGGTGTTCGGACGGGGAGAGATGCAGAAGGCCTTTGAAGACGCTGCCTTTGCCCTCAAAGTCGGGGAGATCTCTGATGTCGTCGATTCTGATTCCGGCCTCCACATTATCTACCGCTTCTCGTGAGTTCGTTCAGGGCAAGTTGTCGCTGTGCTCCTCAGGGTCGAGCAACCCTTACAACGAGCTGTTGCAATGTTTAGAAGTTTAATTTCATACTTTGTAACTTCAAAAGAATGCCGTGCGTGTGTTTCTGGTAGTATCTGCGATGATTCAGTTGGGACAAACAAGGAGTATGTCTGCTCACATGGCAAGGAACAAGGGGAGCGAGACTGATGCTACAGCTATCCACAAGCTCCTGCTCCATCGCCTCTTCGATCGCATTCTCAGCCATTCTTCGCATCATCGCACGCCTCGTACCTTAGCTGAGCCTCCGCTGAGGAAGTTTGTAGATCTTCTTGTAGCAGATGAAAGGGCATTACGAAGCTCTTGGATCTGATCACAACAATCGTCATGTTCACAAGCTCACCCGGAGAAGCGAATTCTGACCTGCATCTTGAGGCGCGCATTCTCAGACGCCATCTCCTCATATCGCGCTGCAGAGATCTTTCCTCCTTTCTTCGTCTTGCTGCCAGTGCCGCTGGCTGCACCCGAGCCCCCTACCTGTCCTTCCATGTCCTCCATAATCACTTTCATCTTGGACGACATCTCTCTCTCCAGCACTGTCCGCTGCTCCAGCATCAGCCTGTGAAGCTCTTCGATCTCCTCGTCCTTCTCATGCACCATCTCGCGTGCTTGCAGCACGTACCGTCGCAGAGTGTCCAGATCGTCGATATTCCGCGGTGATTGGATCGCGGCAAGGGAACCCCCCGCCTGATGGCTCTTCCTGCTCTTGTCGAGCTCCTCTTCCAGCTGAGCTATCCTAGCCTCGTACGATTTGAGCTGTTCCTTGAGCTCTTGGCCAGAGGTGGGTTTCTCGCATGTCCGATCCGTTGATGGGGAACTAGACACCTCATGGTGTCGGTCGCTCTGTCCTTCATTGCAGCTCTTAACGGCTGCCGCGTACACCTCGCTCTCATGGTCATCGAGAGAGGTCGACGCAAACTCATGCACGCAATCAATGACATCATCAAGTCTTCGGGCGATGTCCTCATCTTTCTCCTCACCATGGATCACACCGTACTGTTCTTTCAGCGCGCAAAGGGTCTCGTAGATCTTGACAAGCTTTGACCCTGCCATTCCCCTGCCCTCTCGAGATTCTTGCATGCTAGTTGAAGCCTGCTCTTCCCCTGTCTCCTGGTACCTTGCGACGCCTTGCCTCTTGTTTCCTGCCTCCCTCCCTCCTCCCTTACCTGCTCCCTTCCAAATTTGTGGTTGCAGTGACAGGGTAGGGGTGGATATTTTGACCACTTGAAGGGGTTGTTTTGTATGTAATAAAGGGGGTAATGGTCCGCACACAAGTGGAGCCTAATGAGGGTAGGTTTCAGTGGGAATGAATGGGGATGAGGGTGTCGATACCGCGGAGGCTGCAGCGCTATGGAGGCCGGGGAAGAGAAGGAGCGACGAGAGCGAAGATGTGAGACGAGATGGCGCGCGATGGAAGCATAGAACAGCATCGCACTTGTCTTGATGTTGTCTGTTGATGTTGAAGCAGGAGGGCCCTCTGTGCTGTTTCCCTTGACAGAACCTGACCTTTCTCTGACACCTTGTGCAGATATGAATCGCGTTTTGTCAAGACCCGTTCTGCTATCGTTCTTGCTCCTGCTTCACTTTCAACATGTCTCATCACTGAGATCGTTGTCTCGATTGTCTCTGAGTGCCAGAAACGAAGTTGTTCGTGGGAACATCAGAAAATTGTCAAGCACGTCTGAATTTGCGAGGAAGGATTATGTAGCAAGGCTCCGAGGAGGAAAAGACATTCCGATCGACATGCAAATTGTGCATTGGTTGACGCACTCAAGGGGTAAAACTTTGAAGAGCTCACAGGAGAGTGCGGCACGCTGAGTGATGTGCTAGGTGGTCAGCTCATCGCTGTCGTCATGTTCGCCTGTGGCGTATACATGATTCCAGCATTGCCGAGGATCAAATCGGTCAGCCCCATCTACATCAGACAGGTGCTGCTTTCAATCATGAGGCATGCTCCATGACTTGTATGCTCCTTCCCTCAGTTTAAGATTGGGGTTGTTCTGTTGGTAGCCGGCACTCTGCTTTTCTTGGCAGGTCCGGTGATCAAGCACTATCTTGGTATGATAACTCGTTTCACCCACTTGCTGTTCTGCTCACATCTAAGGATGCAGGCGCGTGGTCGATGGGCTTCATGCCGTTGTCGCACTCGATCATGATGGCTGGGGGGGTTTTCATCTGGGCGGTACAGTGATGTAAACTGAAATTCTCTCGTGTTTTTTGTTTTGTTTTTTTTTGTTTTTTTTGTTTTTCTGTTTGTTTGTTTGTTTGCTTGTTTGTTTGTTTGTTAGGAACGCATTCTAGCTGGCACTCACGGAGATCTATTTCATGTGTGCCCTTGCACAATGCAAGAATGTAGAGAGACTGGTCCCCCACGCATTGGATCAATCGATGCGATGGCAAACATACATGTCTCCACATGAATCGATGCGCAAGTCGAGCAATCTTTGTCTTTGTGGTGCAGTGGGATTCGTGCAAGCTGTTGGAGTGACTCTGATCTTGAATACGTGTAATGTTTGAACAGGCAGTTGGAGAGGCGATTGCAGATGCAAGGGATGAGCAACTGGATGATGAAACCAGGTCAGCAGAATGCCGTGATGACATCGAAATGTATGACTATGGATGGCAGAGACCCGAATACAGACACCTTTTCATCCAACTACAAGCTGATTGGATGAGATTATTGTTACTTTAGAATACTTGATTGTTTCTCTGTGAATAGCATGAACCTTCGAACATGTTGATTTTTTTGCACAATCCCATCAACGTGCAACTTTGCCCTTTACAGGCAAATCAACGTCGAGCATGCAGTGATCTCTCTCTCGCGACTCTCTTGACAAAGGACGAATTTCCAGTCTTCAGGTCTAGTAGCACTTGTACACAACCAGCACGTGATCTTCTGACTTCTAGAGCATTTCACACAGAAATTCGTAATGCTGAGCTAAATCTTAAGAGTCTTCTGACGTTAACCGTTCAGATCACTCAGTCCCATCTCAGTGATGAGGAAATGTGTATATGCTTGCGATGCATTCTTGTTCGATTTTCGAATTGTCAATCGCCTGACATCGCTGCTGAACTGCAAACCTCAGGTGTCACAAGCAATCACACTCAAGTAGAACCCATTACCGCGGTGATCATCAGAGACACACAGGGAAGTCGAGACCAGGTTTCACCCATTGCTGCTTGTACATGTTCTGAATTACCACCTCTCGCTATCGTGCTGCAAATCATACAATAAGGCCATGTCAATGGAAACTTAATAATTTCTTACGTGTGGTTCGTTACAAGGACCGCGATGCTGTACTTGGTCATCATGCGCTAGATCATGGGTCACTTCTGATCCGCACAGACGAGATTGTTCACCTGAATTTTCTGAACAATGTCCAGAAGCATGCAGTGACCAACCATTGAAGCACCTCCCAAAATTGGTGCAAACAAGGAGCCAATTGAATCCACAACGACCTGAAATATCAGAGATCAGAGGCTTTCCCAGAGATCATCCGATTGATACCATTTTGAGGTTAACCAAAAAGGAGTCTATGTGCAATCCATCTGAGGTATTCCTTGATAGGCCAAACGCAGACTGCAGCTTGATTTCGAGGTCGGATAACTACTCATGAATTTCAATTGTTGTGTTGCTCAAGAGTCAAAACGTTTGCCTCGTCCATCAATTCTTGTACATTAGATACCGAGGACCTCCGTATTCTCTGGAGAGCCATCAACGATTCTTCCTTCGTACAGCCTTGCTCTTGCATGATTTCCTTCAAATGGGGACGCCACGTGAGTGGAGTATAGGACTGCAATGCTCAAAATACCTGCAATCTGATGGGCGAGAAAGAATTTCCGCTGTCCAAATACAGTACATTTGCTTGAAGATCACTGCAGAATATCTCAAATGAATGGGTAGATCGCCACAAACACGTGGAACATTACCAAGCAACTTTCGATGTCACCGATAAGCAAAATTGGGTTTTGCCGACCGCTGAAGGGCCCGCGATCTCAGTCAATTCACTGGTGAAGATTCCACCTGGAGGATTCCTTCATTGCCTCATCACAGCATCATGCAAGAGACCGTGTAGAAGTTCATTGATCGAGGAACACCCAGTCTGGATAATAGAGTTTTTCTCTCTCCAATCCTCGAAGATAGCACTGAAACATTGTTACAGGTGTGAATTCCATCTATGAGTGTCCAAATGACCTTGCCCTTTGCGGGACAGGACAGTATCTCCGCAAGATCCTCTTCACAATCCCTTTGATTTCAGTTTCAGATAACTGTGCATTCTCCGCGACACTGTGGTAGCATGTCAAATCAGTTATCGTTAGCAAATGTGAAGGTAAGGGATGTTACAAGGCGAAACCACTGCGGGTTAAGAACAGGAGGTCTTCAGCAGAATGTATTCCAGCTGCAATCAAAGAGGCTCCATCCTGCAGGCAACATGAACAACAGCACATTTCCCGGAACGCTCTAGCGATAAGACGCAGATAGTAATGGAGGGAGAGAAAGGGCAAGTGGAAGGCCAAAAACAAGGCAGGCAAGCAAGCATCAGCACAAGTCAAGAGAACGTTTCGTCCTGCACTCACAGCATAGCCGATTATTCCGTTCTTCACCATCGTCTCCACACGCGGCATCACGTCAACCCGGCAGGGGCGGAATGGCGGGAGAACCGAACACAGGCTGGTGCCGCCGGGCCCCGCCGGGGCTCAGGCTGCCCGTTTACTCAAAGTTAAGTGAAAAATCAGTACGAGGAGCTGCCGCAGGCTGCATGACGTTCCGAGTTCAGCCTGCGGCGGCGGCCACTGGCGTTGGCACGGCAGTGCCGGCCCGGCGATCCCGGCGGTCGCGGCCCGGCGACCGGGACTCGGACCGCCGGGCGCCGGGCGCCCGGTCCGACGATCGGCATCAGTTCAGGTCGGACCGTACGGTTTTTACGGGTCTCTCGTACCGTCCGTAAGTCCGTACTGCGTCTGTTGGATGTTGCCAGCTATAGGCTGATGGCCGTGACAGGCTTTGCCTCCGGAAGTGACCGAGTCACTAGCCTCGCTCGGAGGACTCGAAAGCTGACAGTTGTGATCTTGAGATTTTTATGAAGATTCGGTCGAAAAATTTGAACTGCTCAACTGTTAATTTTAAATTCCAAGTTAACTCCCCAAATCATAAGGCCCATCAATCTTCGCATTGGTTGCCAGTCAAAGGTCAGCAGGGCCCGAGAGCCCATGTAAGGGATGGGTGACGGGGGCGAAAAAGCAATATCGAGTACGGGTCCTTTCCCATAGAATGGATGGGTAGTCCCCATTAGAATACGGGACCGTTTGGAAAACACGTTTTTTCGAGCTCAGCGCTTATCCGGATCCTGTCAGCTGCCTCCACGGATCGCTCACGGCTGCGCCATGGACATTCTTCGCACCGGTACATTTGGGGTTTATGGAAGGGGTACAATTCGATGCGATCTTTTAACTCCTGAGACTCGCACGGGGCAAGCGTCACCGTACCCCTGAATTTGACAGCAATAACCGGGTGGTCTCATCTGCAACCCAAATCCGCTTGACTTCTTGGCGGGACAAGCAAAAAAACAAAATCTCCAGGCGTCGAATCGAAAAGAGCTAAGTTCAGGAATGACTCTGAAACTTCGCTTTTTCGTACAACTGCCAGCTGTCCAAATCTAACGTACGACTTTCTAGGGGTAGGGTACATGGATTTCTGTGTCACACCGGTACTTTAGCAGCACTCGAAACCCGGTGATGACGTGCTTCGGTAAAGGTGTGGATCTTTTGGGGTAGGGTACGTAAGTGAGAAGGAGGGGTGGGTGGTTTCGATGGGAGATTAAAACCCTGGTGGCACCAATCTCACGCATTACTCCATGTCCCCACACGCGAGCCACGGCGAAAGTCATGCAGCAGTCCGCAAGCCACAGCATGTCTCTGTGGACGGGCAGGTTCAAAGCACTCTGGATGCCGAGATCCGTACTGTTCGCCGCCTCCCATTGAGCTCAAGCGATTTGAGCCGATGTCGCCATGGTTGCCCGAGCCGTGAGAAGCAGTTGGAATGCTTGTATGCTGCGATTGGATTGATTGAAAGGAAAGCTGAAATTGTTAACTCTCTTGGGGACATCATAATTTTATCTTCGACATGTTACTGATGTTTGATTGGCATCTATCCTTATAGATCAAGAAGCAAATCTGTAAATATTATTTGATTTAATGTACATAGTACTTTACCTTGACATACAATAAAGATTAATGTCATGATTATTCCATGTTTCTTTGTCCATTGATCCATTGGTATCGTACAAGATGAAGGAGAATGGGTTCATCCTAGGAGATTTGATGTAGCGAGATTGAGAATGAGGCAAGCTCAACGTTACCGAAAAGATGTTCCATCGTAGTTCAAGGGAGCCCATACACATAAAATTCTCAAGCACATGGTTCAATACCAGATCAATCAATCGAGATGATATCAAACGCGCTAGAAGCGGCGGGAGAGATCTGCATTGGCGTCCTGCTCCATCTGCACATGTATGCATCAGAGCCTGACAAATCTGTATCATGTTATAAGATTCGTCCTTCCAACGTAATGCTGGATGGATATTCAAGCTGATGAAAACACGAAGCACACGAAGCCTTTTGATGGGTCCAACAACTGGATGAAAGACATTTTTCCATAGTCACACTGTTACTGCAGCTGAAGGTAAAGTTCAGTGATAGAGATCTGGGTCGGGCCCATTTTCCGATGGGAAGAGTGAAATTGTTTCAACTTGCTTCACTTTGATCATTGAGTGTAAGCATATGGCCAAAACTAGTCCTGCTGCGTGACGGTGGAAATAAACAAGTGGTAAGAATTGCAATGAGTGGCTCTGTTTCGAAGCCTCATTAAGCCTCATCACTCGGAAGCAAAGTTTTCCATGCATCTTGAAAATTTTGTATCAATCTTCTTGAGATGTTGATGATCGGACGATTTTCAGTAACTATCCCATGAGGAAGTGTACCGTAACATCTGACTCGACCTTGTTGTTCGTTACCAACTCAACATTATTAGAACAGTCTTGCTACGGTGACCACTGTTGAGACCCTCGCATCCGTAAAACTATATGAGTCCGCCCCAGAATCTTATTAGACCAGGAGACAAGGCAGCAACTTGTTCCCATCAAAGCGATCCCTCACCTTCTTGATGCATTCCTGTCGTTGTGTAGGGGCCGGGGCCCAACGTTTGCTCTACCGCCATGGTAGCAGGCGGAATAGGAGCAGCGCGAGCATGCGATTGCCCATTGAGCAGTGAGTATTGCAAGGAGCAGCGAGGACGGAAGAGGCTGTGGTTTCAGATGCTGCAGCTGGGAGATGTCGATTCGATGGCTGCCTTTGTTGCAGAGCTCAAGTTCCAGCAGGAGGATGTGCAGGAGTTGCTCACTGTGCAGGGATCGCACGGTAGAAGCTCGTTGCACGTTGCCGTGGAGAAGCAAGCTGCGGATGTGGTCAGATTCCTGTTAGATGTAGCGGAAGAGGAAGACATGCATGAAGAGCTCTTGACAGTGAAAGACGACTCTGGGATGACACCGTTCATGGACGCTTGCAAGGTTGGGAAGCTCGACGTGATTGATCATATTGTAGACTTCGGTCTAAGGCACTCTGCAGCAGAATCTGTGAATTTGGAAGCTGCTCTGAAGATAGCGAAAGAGGAAGGGCGGACTGCTCTTGTAGACTACATCACGATGAAACTCTCACAGATCACTTCTTCGCAGGAAGAAGCCACGACTCCGATTCACGCTGGAGCAGGAGCAACGAACTCCGATCCCCCCCATAGGTCGAGACCTCAGGTAACTGCATTAGCTGACAGCGGAGAAACTCATCTCGAGGACACGCTGCGAACTCTCAGCAACGTCTCCTTCTTCTCGCTGTTGGATGCGGTCGCCCTGAAGCAAATAGCCATGCACTCCAAAAGATGCACACTGGCGAACAAAGAGTTCGAGTTCCTCTCGAGCTTTCTGCCTGAGTTGAGCATGTTTGTTGTCGTCAGCGGCACAGTCGAAGTCGAGATCGAAGAAGTTCAAGTCGATGACAAGTCAAAGTTGCATCCATGGTCGATCCAGTATCGGCTCAAGACATGTTCGTACAAGTATTCGCTGAAGACTGGTGACTCGTTTGGTGAAAGAATGCTACTCGTCGGTGACATTGCCACGTCAAGAGTGCGAGCGGCAGGGAAGGCAAGCCTGATCTACGTTGACTACGAGGCCATGAATAGCGTCTTGGTCCGACAGCCCAAGGTTCGCTCAGGGCTGGCGTCGTACCTGGCCAATCAGGTCTTCGAAGACCGAAACGACTTGTGGGAGAAAGATAGTATCGACACGCTCACGGATGAAATTCTAGACCGCATCACCGCCATGTACAAACTAGACAACAATGACGAGAACGGTCCGGAACTTTCTGATCAGTCGAACGTCAGTGCAGTGCAGAGAAAGAGAAGAATAGATGTTCCGATGATCACCAACAAGCACGACGGCAGCCTGAATCTGACGCATCTGTCGTTGCTGTATTCTGAAGCGGCCGACGAGAAAGCAATCCGAGGAGACTCTACGGGGATTCTTGCCTATATGATAACCTGCAAGAGGCTGATGGTGAGAGCCAGGCCCAACGTGCTGCTGCAACTGATGAGCTCGCACGTGATGCTCGCAAACTCCTTCATCTTCTGGAAGGAAGGTCGAGCCCTTGCCGCCTCCTTCAGGCTGAACCCTGCGGTCCAGGCTGTGGACCTCTCTGAAAACTTCTTGTTTGATGATGCCTTGGTCGGTGAAGAGGACAGTGAAGATGGAATTCTCAGCTCGCTATGTGGCAAAGAGCATCTTAAAACTCTCAACTTGTCTCACTGCAGGCTGGGCAAGGGGGCGAGTTGTGCTTCTTCCATCCGCTCAAAGTCCTTTCAGCTTCTTACCAGCCTCGTTCAGACCTGCAAGAACTTGAAAACCTTAATACTGGAAGGCAACTACATAACGGACAGAGGAGCGATGACACTCTTCAGAGGACTGCAAGGAGGCTCTAACACTCTAGAGACTCTTGTGCTGTCCCAGAATGTGATTGGAAATAGAGGAGCCAAGATGATCTCGGATTTCCTCAAGGAGTCGAGCGCATTGCTGACGTTGGACCTGTCATGGAATCAGATCGTTGAAGAGGGATGTTCCAACATCTTCGATGGGATGACGACGAATCAAGTCCTCGAACAGCTCAACCTGTCTCAGAATAGGATAGGACACGAGGGAGGAGTTAGTCTCAGCAATATGTTGAAAGTCAACAAGTCGCTGAAAAAGTTGAGCGTCAGCAGCTGTCACATCCCGGAAAGCTGCGGAGGAATGCTCGCCGACTCAATCTTTGTCAATGCAAGTATCGTAGAGCTGGACTTGAGCTGGAACCTGTTGGGTAGCACTGAGAGTTCTATCGTCACAGCATTCGCAAGCTGTAAGGCTGATCGCTCGCTAACTATTCACAGCTCAGGATCTTCGCTTCTCAGCTCATGGCCTCCTGACCATCAGAATCCTTCGGGACACTACAAGTTTGACTTGTCTCAACCCTACCAGGTCAAGTTCTTCGATGTCTTGAAAGATCTCGGGAAGAAGAATCGCTTTCAGAACTGGAGGAACGAGACGATGGACGGCAAGCGGGTCTATGCTAGCAGCGACATAGAGGCTGCCAAGAAGGGAGTTGTGGAGCTGGACTTTGTGCAGCATCCAGCATCGCTCGATCGGTATCGTGTGATAGACGAGAGCTCACTGAAGATCTTGCTTGCAAAGCTCAACCGAAACATGTATCATGTGAACAAACTCATCGCCCTCAAAGATGCTTGTCGAGAATTCCTCTTCGGTCCAGAAGAGGCGAGTGCAGTGCTTCTAGCATTCGACTCAGCAGAGCAGCGGGAAGACGCGTTCGTCTGCTTGTACTGCAGGCTGCTCAACATTGACGGATGCGTTGCTAGTGTCGTCAGCAGATGTTTCAGAAGGTCGGAGATTGTCGGCCTGCAGGTGAGGCTGGGGCCTTCAGCCGTGTTCGATGAGAGCCGTGTCAACGGCTCCTACTGGTTCGACTTGGGGAAGCGAGACGACAGGGAGTGCTTTCAGAAGCTGATGAGTGTTTACAGCAGTGCGAAAGACGTGCTTCCTTGCTTGACTGAGTTGATGGTTTCCGACCTTGATGGAAATGAAGAGGATAAGGATGGAAATGAATATCAGGAATCGTTCCTCAATGTGTTCCAGGACGAGACAAAGACTTCGGCTGAAGCTGTGAAGGAATTGTTTGCAACGTTCGACCAGTTTCAAGTTGAGCTTGTCTTCTTGTCGAGCCTGTTCGAACAGGAGCAACATGAGCAGTCCTCTCCTTCCTCTATCAGCGAGACATCTTCTATCAGTGAAAGCAGGAACAGACTCCCTTCGCTCAAACGAAATTCTGTCTTCAGATCCCCCAAGTTCTCTCTCGACAGGCTGCAGCGCGAGGACAGGACCACCTCGCTCCCCTCTGTCCAGGAGAGCAAGAGGCTGCTCCCTGCTCCGAGGAGACGGCAGACGCTGGCCAACATCGAGCAAGAGCAGAAGTTCGTGGAGGAGACGAAAGCACGACGAGAGGAGGCGCTGGAGAAGGCGTCGAAGATGATCGAAGAGGCTTGTGTGGGAGCTCCGGCATACTCGGTGACGGGCAGCCGGTTGGAGCGGGGGAAGAAGAAGTGGAAGCCTTGGGTGAAATGGAAGCGAACGCACGAGGAGGACTTCGTCATACATCGTGTGTCGCTGACGGACAAGAAGCAGGGGAACGGGCTGCATGAGATCCTCCACGGGGCTGTGGGGGAGAGCTCCTGCCTCAACTACTTCATCGACCTCGCCCTGCAGATCAAACTTCACACCATCCCCCGCTACTTCTCCGTCATTCTCTCACCTGCCCTCCACCTGACCCTCTACGTCAACGTGACTGGCTATCCCTGCGAGGACCATCACATCTGGAAGGGACACCAGCTGGGGTCGGACCAGGTTGTCATAATCGAGCCCAACGACCCCAACTACTCGTGCGGCACCTTCTACGTCTCGGTCGTGTCTGAGGCCCACCCAGCTGAGTTCGAGCTCAGCGTCCAGCTCTACCCCTACTCGCAGATGCTGCAGGTGCTGCAGGTGTACGACGACAGGAGCAAGGTGACGCTGCGGGAGCACACGGACTCGAGGAGCAGAAAGGTGAAGGAGCTCAAGAAGGAGTTCGGAGCGAGCGGGAAGGTCCTGCGGCAGGTGTCGTTCCTCTCGAACCTCCGCACACACCGAGGGGCAGCCGGGGCGCGGCTGCAGCCGAAGCCTGTCCTCCACATCCGTTCTGAGACGTCCCCGAGCTCTCGGCAGGCACCGACACCAAAGCTCGTGGTAGAGGATGAGAAGTGAGTCGTCAAGTGCTGACGACAAGCAAGTCAAGTTAGAGCGCCACAATCAGCTGAAGTTGTTCATGCGAATTTCTTGACAAGCGAGAACGTCGGAGGTTCAGAACTCCTGGGAAGGAGTCCGAGGGCGTGCAAGGACAGTTGGACGGCGCTGCCGACAAGCTTCTCCTGACCTCGAAGAGCATTCTCAGCTTCCATGGAGCTTTCAACCTGCAGGGAGGATGAGCGGGTTGTTGCAGCAACAAGACATGCTGACTTTGAGCAGCCATGGTTGAGGACCGTTGGCTTCGTCTGATGTCAGTGCGAACGTGAAGGCGAACAACTCGAAGCAGTTTGGCATCGCCAGGAACTGAGTCTTCTTGTTTCTGTGGTAACGCGTGAGGTCAAGGAAGCAAGTAAGGTTCTTCCTGGCTGCTCTTACCTCAAGGCGTCGAAGACTTTCTCAACAGAGATGGAAAGTTTCCCTTGTAAGGTCTCAACCCACGGGCCCAGCCATCGATAGGTGATATCCCCTCCAGAATCTTTCAGAGACTTGAGCGAGAACATGGCTTCTTCTTCCCTCTCATCTTCCTCTCCTCCTGCGAGGTAGACCATGGCGTCTTGCTACAAGGACGTACTTGAGCTTTTGTCAAGAAACACTCTCAGATACCTGGATGTAAACTTGTAGATTTCCCACTGCAAGCACTGCTACTTTGATTGAAAGTCTGTTTTTTAACGCCTGATTCGAAACTCTTAGACTCCTGAGACAACCTTCCCAAGGTTCACCGCAAACTGCGGGAGAGGTTCAAGGTATTGCTGTAAAACGATCGATTTGCTTCCTCCATTCTGGCAAGGTTGTCAGAGGAGGCGACATATCGATAAGCTCGACGTCTCGGAGGAATGCAATCAATGCTTCGGAACTCCTGCAGATGGAAGAAATCTTACAGCCATCTGCGCGGATCGTCAGGTGATTTCATCTACCTTTCTTGTCTCACCAGTCTCGTGCATGCACTGCACACGCCAAGAAATGTCTCGGCTTGCAAGAAGGTCCAGAACATGTTGCTGCAGCACATCATCAACTCAACAAGAGACGTTTCACTCCCACCTCCCAGTCGTTTCTTGAAATATCCACCTTGAGCCGGAGAGTCACAGGCATCACATCCTGTGAACAGATTAAGGTCGAGGAGGCGGAGCAGGAGGACGAGGAGCAAGAGCAGCAGGAGCAGGAGCAGGAGCAGGAGCAGGAGCAGGAGCATGAGCAGGAGCGGGAGCGGGAGCAGGAGCAGGAGCAGGAGCAGGACACAAGCCTTCGTGACCTGATGTCCGGCTGCATCCAGGAGGAGGAAGAGGTTTACGCGTCCCAGCAAGCCCTGCCGCAAGTGTGACTTCCTCTGCTCGCACGTCGCTGCCTCACCCGGCGCATGTGATAGTGACTGGAAATCATCAGCCCCTGGTCACGCGCGTCAACTTGTCAGTTGCAGTATTTGAGGGAGGGAGTTGAAGGGGAGGGAGATATGGAGAGCTCTCAGAAGAGCAGAGTCGGGGAGAGATGCGGGAGGAAGGGACGTATGGAAGAGGCAGGAAGAAGAAGGCGAGGGAGAGAGAGTTGAGGCAGAGGAAGTGGAGGACCAGGAAGACAAGGAGGACACGAAGGAACGTGAGGTTGTTTTGGTGGGAAGAGAAAGAAGGCAATGCATGAGGAGACGGTGAGACAGAGGAGGAGGAGGAGGAGGAGGAGGAGGAGGAGGAGGAGGAGAAGCAGGAGGAGGAAGATCTCAAGAAACCTTGAGCACTTTGTCCCATGCGATATCTCTGTAGAACGTGATTTGAATGGAAGATCTTTCATGATCAAACTGAAGGATCGTAAGATGAGAACAAACACTCCCTCTCTCACCTCCTCTAAGATGCAAATCTCCTCGTGCCTTTTCAGCACCCTGCTCAGAAATCGTCAGGAAATTTCGATCACAACGAATCTCTCTGCCACACCCCGTTACTTCGGCTGAAAACCAAGTGTTCTTCTGTACAAAACAATAGGGTCTGCTACCCGACAATGTCGTAGTCGTTGACGTCTTGCATTCCCTGTTGACAAGTGCTGAAGTTCTCAGAAGACTCCGAAGCACCTGATACTCGATCGTCAACTTCCGCAATGACAATGACAAGTTCATCTTTGACAATGTTGCTCAATACAACATGATAGACAAAATCAAGAGATGGCAAGCAGGGCAACAACATCTTCTCCTCATCACCTTTAACCCTGCGAACCCTTCGTACTTGGGTGGCCGCGCATGCACGCAAGGAAATGATTCTCTTTCTCCTGCCCCGGCTGCTCCTGCTCCTGCTCCTGCTCCTGCTCCTATTCTAGTTCCAGCTCCAGCCCCTGTCCCAGCTCCTGCTCCACTGACGCCATGCTTTTCATGGTTGTAGAATGGAAATCCAGCCACGTAGACCTGCAGCAAGAAGGTAAGGGGGAGCAACTATCAACCCTTGACGCACCGATGTCACATGCGGATTCTCTCTCCACCAATCGCTCCAGCTCTTGTCGGTACCAGGACAGTTCTCAGCTCCCCCGCACTTCCCTGCCCCTTCGGCCCATCCATCCCCCAGCACGAAGTCCAGCACATCCTCGATTATCTCTGCCAACTTGGGCTCGAGCTTCTCACCTACCTTTCAGTTAATTCCCAGCTCAGAGGGGTCTGGAGCAGCCGCAAACCTTCGTACAGGGCGAAGGACGGGTCCGAGTTGATCTCCAGCAGCCAGACCCCCCCAGCTTCATCGATCATCATGTCACAACCGAAGATCTCGAAGCAATGCCTGACACGTCAGAGTCAGGGAGCTGAGAAACTTCTGCCATTGAGTACGGCATGGGGAAAAAGCCAGCCGGGCAAAGCTTGGAGGCAGCAAACACCTCGGATATGATATCACATATACTAACATCGTCGGTTAGAAAAGTGTTTGCAAATCATGCATGCAAACTTTTTGAAAAAGTGTCGGAACAGATCATCCGCTGTAGCAAAATCTGCAGCCCTGCCATCTTCTACTAACTCCTGAACTTACGAGGTTAGGAGCTGAGAGTGATTTTCAACCAAAAGAAACCTGGCAAAACTCTTGCAACAAGAGAGATTTTCCTGCAGCACACAAACATCAAATGCAATCATGAAGAGTTCTGAAAATGCCTTTCGAGAAGTCATCGTGTGTACTTTGAACACAATGATTGGTCAAGAATGCATATTTGTCAACCACTCCATCCCTGTCAACCACAATCGTACGAGGGAACTCAAACAATAGAGTGCTTGGCTAAACTTTACCTCTTGGTATACTGAGAGTGGGCTGGAATGACAACGATATTTCTATGCACTCTCACCTGCAAACATACTATTAATTTTCGACACACATTTGTTCTCCTTCTTTCTTCCCGCCTTCCGCCCGCCCTCACTATCTCTCCTCTCTATCTCGCCTAACTCCCCCCTCCCATCTCACTCTCCTCCTCCTCCTCCTCCTCCTCCTCCTCCTCCTCCTCCTCCTCCTTTACTTCGAGATCGCCTTTGGCTACAGCGAGCACTCGTAGATGAAACTTGCGATTCTGGTAACTTTTCCTTTCCCCGTCAGCAGTGCGATGGAAGGAGGGTGAAGGGATACAGCATTGGAGGGTCGATGCATCGCTGCTAGAAATGAGATTGTCTTGAAGCAGCAGCACTCAGAAAACCTGAAGCAGCCAGACGTTTGACTGACTTGTTTGCAAAATCTCCATCATCTTTGTCTTGGCGATCTCCTCCAAGGAGAAAAGATGCACATCTTGACCTTTGAGAACAACGAAACCTCAGTCTCCCTCAAGAACAAGAAAACGGAGTCCGTGCCCAGTCTCTCACCTCGGTTGGAGTCGCTTGCCTTCAATACCCATAGGTCTCCATCCTTCTTCAATTCCTCCTTCAGCTGCTCCAAGTATTCCGTCACATCCTCCTCGTCTTCTCTCAGCTCCACGAGATCCACGACGTGAGTGGTGGGGATCGCAGACATAAGTCGGGATCCAGGGAACTTTCTCGCATGCTTCTCGATCATCCTGTGCATGTCAGCCTTACGGTTGATGCACGTCTTGAGGTAGTAGAGGTTCGATCCGATCTTCCCCTCCAGTACATGATGCCATGGCACGTCCCGCCCGCTGCACCAAGTCAAGTCGACGGCCGGGTCAGCGCTGTCAAGAACAGAACTGTCCTGTGAGAGCACAGAGCTTCAGGAGGAGGGAGGAGAGCGTCTCCTACTCACCTCTGTGACCTCCCATCCTCTCTTCTCAAACTGATCTCTTAGCAACTTCCTCGCCTTCCACCATGTCGGCAGCAAAATTACCCTCGGCATTCTCCCCGACCGCCTGGCCAAGGCGCTACCCCTACCCCCCGAAATTATCTAACACCCGTGATAAGTCAGTGTATTGCACCGGTGACTTAGTACCCTCTACCCCTGTAGAATCCCTGGTCTGTGCCTGGTGCCGAAAAATGCTTTCCTGTCGCAAGTAGCTCCAACCGAGTCTGGCAAGAAGAGAGACGATGAGAAGAAGTTGAGCCGATATGAACAGTATGATGCCGTCGACACACGATGGTGACCAAACATTTCATTGAAAGATTTAGATATACACGTGCTTTACAAAAGAATAAATGAGTGAACAAGCCTTTCCCAACAGCCCAGTTTCTCTAACCGGCCTTGCAAATTTTCTGCAAATTGAGAGAATGTGGCATGGAGAAACAAAGCTTCATAGCGGAATGATCGGAGAGATCATCCTCCAAAATCTGTGCAATCCGAGGTCAGATCTCTTTTCCACACCCAACATCAGTCACCTTGTACTCGTCGACTTGCAAGTCCGTGAAGACATGATCAAGATTGACATTGTACTCCACGTCACGCCATCCAGGGGGGGTCAGGAAGGAGTGGGTCGAATAAGTGCCACGGAATTCAGGCGCACAGACGCTCTCTCGCCCGATGAGCTTCACGGCATCGTTATATTCGTCGGATCCGCCTTCGATGTTGAAATCTCCTCCGAGAATGTAGTGCTCGCCATCCTTCACCTACATTAGGATCAGCACATAAGCAAGGTGCTCCCGCATGCTTCGTACCACTGAGTCCAGAAAGTTCTTCACTTCGACGATCTGCCCATGGCGGATTCTGGTAGCCCCCTCTATGCCGTCGTCTGTGGCTGCAAGAAATCGAACAACTTCGCTTCCCATGTCGTGTTGATCTCCTTTTTCAGTAGATTTCTCAAGCATGGAAGTAGTAGGAGCCGAAGTACATTGCATGTGCCTGAATCTTTCCTGTTAGCGACAAAAAGAAATACTGTTGGTTGTACTCACGTCGAAAGGAGATGAAGCTTCGAGTTGGAATTCACCGAAACTTCTGCACTGAGAACACCATTGGGTACAAGACTCTGCCAACCAGAGCAGTTCTGGAAGACGATGGATTTTGCATCCTTGATCGGGAACCTACGAACCAACGTCAGCTCATCTGCCTTCGCCAACATGAATGATGTACCGACTCAAGATGACGTTACCAGTATCCATCAACATCCCAACCTGTTCATAGAGGATCAGCACAGGAGGAGAAGTCGTCTGCGAGAACTACCGGTGTGAAACAGACGTAGAACCCTTTCTTCCTTGCTTCTTCGTAGAAGTATGTATGGTGCGAAGACCACCAGCATCCCCACAGCTCGTTGATCAGCAGCACGTCATATGAATGCAGCATGTCCAGAAGCATGTTGATTCGTTCGCGCTTCTTATCCTTTCCATCAAATAGCCAGCCCCCGGAGAATGATAGGCCGCCTGGCAGCAAGCAGAAGTTCAAGACCATGGCTCGAATCCTTTGGTTGCTGATTCTGCTTTCCGAAGCAACCTTCTCGTCTTCAGGAGCAAGAACAACGGGCTTTTGGCTTCTTTTCGTTCTGAGGTAAAGATACGTCGCAAACACCGCAAGCGGAGATGTGAGAAAGATCCATGACGACATCATCGCTCAGATACAGATTCCCGCCAATCGAATCCTGCGGGTAGCGAGGGCTCTTGCTATGCACGGCTCAAGACAGAGCCTTGCACCGATGAGGAAGAAGTCTTGGGGAGGGATACGAAATCGGACAGAGAGCAGGGCTCGTCGAGAGGAGCAACTCAAGACTGGTGTGAAGGCACCGGAGGGACGAGGATTGAAGTTGTGCCGGCAAGATGGGATCAAAGGAGGCATGCAAGAGGTATAAGACAAAATAAGGGGTAGTGGTACTCCTGGGATTCAGGGTGATAATGAGTAGAGGGTAGGGTACTCCAATGATATACAACACCCCATCTTTGCGATCTGTATTTCACGGGTGATCTTCAAATAGATATTTTTCAAAGGGGTACTAGCCCACATGGGTAGTATTTTCAAGGGGTACACCATTTTCGAGGTGGGTGGGGCGAATTGGGGTAGGGCTTCAGGGGAGGAAACAGGCGTAGGTTAGATTGAGTGATTCTTAAAATGGTTTTAAAAACATTTTCGAATAAACGCGAAAGTTAAAAATTTATGAATCTGTATATTTCAAGTTTTAATCAATCATTTTAAATTTAATAGAATACTTGTTTTTCATAAAACATTTTATTCTTTACACCCTCTCCACCCTCTTTAGTGAACTAATTGTCCAGTAAATACGAACAATAAGTCCAGTAAATAGTCCACTGAAACCAGTCAGCCGGGGCCCGTGAGGCCCGGCCGGGCCAGTGAACTGAAATTTGATGGAGCCTTCAAGGGGTAGGTGGTAATTGAGGATATTCGAGGGGTGATCACCATCTTCGCTCTAAAAGGAGCGATGGTAATGCAGAGATGCGATGGTGTTTGTGTGGGCTTATGGGCATGGCAGTTCCATACTATCAGACAGACTGTCGAACTTCTGAGCAATGAGAATGGCGAGATGCTGGCTGCTCAGTTCTTCATCGAAAAGTCTCCTCCAGACGTCACTGTAAGAGTGAGTACATGCGTTGAGCCGAACTGGCAAAGATTGATCACTGTTGTCAAACAGGGTGCTGGCCTTGATGTTGGGGCATGGTTCTGCTCTGATGCAAAGACGGAAGAGGTTGATTGAAAAACAATAATCGAATTGTTCTGAATTGAAGATATAGGAATGCAAGCAGATTGCCACTGAGGCTAACAATTGGAGGTACACGGCTTGAACGCCACGGCATTGGCCGTATGCGCTCTTCCATGTGGTTGGTTTTGGTACCTTTCTGCTCTAGGTGTATCTATACTTTTTTATGGATGGCGTTGCCTTTTGTAGGTATTCACGCAACATCATCCATAAGCTTAAAATAAAGGTTCGGGTCATGTACATCAATGGAATTTAATCCTTCAAAAAATTATATCAGTTCAACAAGCTGAATAGCCTATCATATCTGTTAACACGTCAGAAGGCAATCAAATTCTCGAACAAAAATGAGGAGCAACCTTGCACAAACTTGCTTCAAATGAATTTCGATCTCTGGGTCACCAGCATCTGTTGATTAGCATCGTGAGTGTTCTGCAGGGAGTGACAGCAGAGGCAAAGTTTCATCCACATGTATCAGAATAGTCCAAGAAGGAATTTGAAAATGATTGCGATCCAGTGGCTGGGAAAATGTCAGCTTTCTACTTCAGTGTAGAACAGATCTTGCCGTAGTCAGCTGAGAGCGTTGTCCTGTTTGGACTTCTCGATGCAGGGAAACTCGTTTGAGACTTCTAGAATGAACAAACTCAGTATTGATATTATCTTCTTACCAAAGTATTAACCTGATCCTGAAAAGAAAGCGAATGTTGAAGTTTGATGTTTTCCAGTCTCATCTCGTGCTTTCATTTCGGAAAGTTTGTGTCAGGACAGGTCGTGTTTTGTGTCACAGTGCACTTCGGTTTACAGCAACATACCTGCTTTCTGTTTTGATGGGAAATCTTCTGTTCTGCAATATGCAACTTGGATTCCAAGTTCTGTAGCTAACAACTAAAAGTTCAAAATGCAACCCTGCAAAGAGTGTACCATCAAACCTGTACTTTGAGGCTTGAATTTTCTGCACTTTGCTGAATCATTCCATATTCATGCTCCTTGACTTTCCTACAGCATTGGTATGAGTATAAAGTCAAGAGAGAATTTGGCATACCTGCTGAGTATCAGATTCTCTTCCTGGAGTAATGACACCTTCGATTGCTCGGAGAAATACTTCTCCGTCATGCTCTTCAACTCGGTACGCGTGTTAAGATGCTCAATCTTTTCAAGGTCGAGAATATTTTGCAAGCTCAAAACTTTTGCAGACAATGCGGAAGGTGACTCTGTCTGCGCTCTCGTTTCTACTCCCCGCAAGCATGATACATCTATGGTTTCTGCTTGGGTTAGATTTCAACAAGGTGAAAGATGTCAAGGTCTACCTGTTGGAGCCCTCTCCATATGTGCAAATTTGGACGTGTTTACAATGGGTGAAGTGTAGCTTTGTTGCCTGGGAACGATAGATTCCTGAATTTCTCGTTCATACAAGTGTGGGGAGCTTTTTGTCATGGCAGCAGGGCTTGTTTGAGATTTTTCAACTGCAGGAACAGATCTTGCTCCGGCAACATAAGAATGAGACTTTTCGAGCATCGGAGAATATTTGTTCTCGCTAGTGTTAGAATCGCTCGGCTTCTTGACAAGGTAAATGCACAAACTGAATGTTAACGAAAGAGCAAAACCATGCAACAGTCAGATTACTTGATGATCGTAAGCCGCTACTCTTCTGAGTTGTTCGATCTCATGTCTTATTCTCTCCATATCATGCCTCCTGTCATGTCGCAAATTTCAGCCTTGTCAGTTCATGTTTCTCTTGGGGCAGAGACTCATCAGTGTTCCAAGTTCTGGGGCAAGCACGCACCTCAGGTCCGACTCATCAGGACTGATCTTGCTTGTGTCGGAGACTGAGATTTCACCATGTCCTTTTGTTGGCTTCGAGACATGTCTGTTCTTCAGCCGGCAAAGTTGATCCTCAATTGCAGCCTAGCCCATCAAACCCAACTGAGACCAACGGCAGACCCAACAAGCAACTTGCCTCCTTGTCTTTGAACGCGTCGTAGATCTCACGGAGGTTCTCTGCCGCGCGCGGATCAAGCCTCATCCTCTGCCTCGAGTGCTGATCTCCGTCCTCTTCTCTCCTACTGCCTCCTCTCTCTCTCGATCCAAACCGCCTGGTTGCTCGTCCCCGACCTCCCTATCGCGCCATGTGAACAACGGTAGGGATCGGATCAAAGTTGTGCCGAGTCGAGAATACAAGCCCGCCTCACCGGAGTGAGGACAGCAGCACAAGGGTCCTCCTGTGCTATGCTGTGGTAGAACAGCTCCAAGGCACCGCCTCGCCTCCTCCTCGCCTCCTCCTCCACCATCGCGGCTCCTCCACACGCCTCTGCCCCTCCCTTCATTGCCATCTCGAGCTGCCTGACGCTGCTAGAAGGTGTCTGATCTGATCCTCGTCCTACTCAACGCTCGTTGCCCGTCCTCCTACCTCCCTCGACTCTTTTCGCTAGAATCATGTCAAAGGCGTTCAGCTTTCCGTCTCATTACAATTTCCCTCCTTTCTTCACCAAACAGCCGAACAGAGAAACAAACAGCACGCGAGTTCAACTGTGGAAGGACCTTATTCTCAACTACTGCCGGCATCACCGGATTTTCGTCATCGACGTACGAGAATCGCTGGCAACGAGCCCACTTTTCTGCAACGAGAAGATCTCGAGGAAGCTCAGGCAAGACGATGCAAATGAGATCTTTCACTACATGGCTTCCGGTGGGTACGCGGAATGGTATCACCAGGATGGAAACAAGCTCCTGATCTACTGGAAGAAACCGTCTGAGTGGGCGACCTTAATGTACAACTGGGCGAGAGACACGGGGCATCTCAATGCCGTCTTGACCTTTTACGAGATACAGGAAGGAGACATTTCCATCGGGACAGGTGATGAGTCCCACATACCCATCCTGATGCTTGCTATGCCAATCTCCCCCCATGTTGTAACAAGGATGCTCAGTTCTGATTTTCTTCCTTTCAGATCTGCACGGAATCGATCCGCTAATCTTAGAAAAATCTGCCAGAGTCCTGGAGCAGCAGGGCAAGGTGATAATATTCTCTACGGAGGGTGGAGAAACAAGTGGTATCAAATTCTTAGAATCGTAATGCATTCTTTTGTTCACATTTACCATCGTTTGCCGCAAGGTCGGTCAATATTCAATCTTGTGCTGCATGACTTCGGTCGCCTTTCGATCCAAAGTCTCCTTGTCTTTGATCCCTTCGAATATCCGCGGTACATCTGGCCAGAATCTTTCAACATTCTCATCGAGAGAATCCCATTGACAGTTCCTGAGATCAAGTTAGTTCCCTTCCTCCCAGAGCCATGGCTGCTTACAAGATCAAGTCCTGGCGAGTTTGAATGTCTTCAAGAGTATTGCCTTGCTGGTGTGCGACGGGAACAATCCTGTCAGTCCACTCGTACGTGACTTCCTTGGTAGCATCCCATCGTATCCAGCTTCCGCCTCCAGGGTAGCAGACGTAGTTGGTGATCTTCTGACCGGGGAGGTACTTCAATCCTGTCTGTATCTTGAAATCTTTGCTCGTGTTGATGATGACTCCGCTACAAGCGTCTCTTGCTGCGTCCAACGGCACTCCCTGCTGGTTCAGCTGCTCCACTCCTGTCTTGTCGCCCAGCTTGTAAGTCCTGCGACGTTGAAGTGATATTTCGTCCAACGTCTGTCAATGTTGCCGAAATCATCAGCAGGCCAGCTGCGATCACATAACATGTCTTACCACTCGCTGACCTACTCGCAGATCCTTTCTACTTGGCCCTCGTTCACTCTGAAGGTCAACATACCCATTCGCCTGCCCGTCGCCGACATATCGGACTTCATCGAACACCTTCTTCGGGTTCTTCACGATGGCAGTCAGTCCCCCACCAAGGGAGACGTTCACATGCTTTCTAGCCTGATCAGTTGGAGCTTCTCAGTGTTCTCACCCGGGCAGAGGACGCGTCCTCCCTGTCTCACCTTCTCAACCCACGTCCCCTGCACTTTTCGCTTCATGATCACATCCTCGAGCTCGTCTTGTCGGGGAACTTGGTCAGGAGTCCATCTGGGATGAAGGAAACGCCAGAGGTCAACGTAACAGGAGGAGGTGGCAGTGGCGCTACCTGTGCATGACAGGACCGCCATGCACGTTTTGATGCTGGTTTTCTGTCAGCCCATGTTGGAACCTGCGGAGCACAGCCGCTTCTGCTGCCGCTGCAGCAATCGACTTGTCCCTGACAAAGATTTCTTTCATGTAGCATTTTTGAGCAACGCCGTCAACGATCTGATTGATCTGCAATGGGAACAGTCACGAGCAAACAAATGGTCTGAGCAATCACTCACCAAGGAAAGACACATAGTTTCTGTCTTCTTCTTCGCCTCCTTGAGCAACTTTTCTCTCCGCCTCTGGATCAACAGTTCTCGTTCTAACCTTTCTCTCCTATCTTCCGCTGTTTCCATCCATTCGGGAATCACATTCCCCGCATGCGACATCCTGTGTTGCGGTACTAATTCGTTGGATCAATCAAACTTCAGTCTTCTTAGCCTTAGCAGTCTCCCTTCCTCGTGAAGGGCTTCAACGTCTCTCTCACGCTTCTTGTATTGCCTGTCTTCTCACTGTACAGCCGTGAACATCAAGTATGATGGCGAGAGGCACATCATTGGCGACTCACGCTTTCAGCCATGGAGTTTAGCCTCACCCGATCCGATTAGGAGCTTGTACGATACGCAAGCAGCAGGAGGCGTCTTGTTGCTCCTCCTCTCCTGCCCTTGTTGCTCCTACCTCCTCAGGCTGCTCTTGTTGCTCCTACCCTCCTGCTCTTGTTGCTCCTACCCTCCTGCTCTTGTTGCTCCTACCCTCCTGCTCTGGTTGCTCCCCGGCCCGGTAGTACCCTCCTGCTCTTGTTGCTCCTACCCTCCTGCTCTTGTTGCTCCTACTCTTGTGCCTGAAGCGACTGAGGTCCTTCCATCGGAACGGCTAGTAAGTGCCGGCGGCCCTAACTAAAAATATGTGCGACCCGCCTCAGTTGAGGGGGAGAGAAGAACCCTGGGCATTTTTATCATTGCCTTCAAATTTTGAACCTATATTTTGCTGTCCTAGAAATAAGAGAGGAAGATTCTGAGGCGGATCAGTTCCAGCAGGCGCATCCTAGTCGGGCATGATCAACAGGAGTGGCAGCAAGGACTGTCTGACGATGACGATGACGATGACGATGACGATGACGATGATGATGACGACGACACGTTCAAGATAGGATGGAAATGATGGAGATGGTTAAAGTGACAATCAAGATCATAAGTTGGAACGGATGATGAAAGAATGGCGGATTGCGCGAAGAAGATTGAATTACTTGAACAATTTCGCGGTCGCTGTTTTCGATCTCCTCGCAGCTTGTTGGTTGTGATCTTCTCCTTCGTTGTTGTTCCTTCAAACTCCAACAAAGATCCGTATCCGCTCCGATGCATTCAACTCCGAGGAGGAAGGTGGGGAGGAGGAAAGGAGGAATGGAGGGTCTTTCGAAAATGTACGAGGATGTTCTATCCCTACGATGAGCTTCGATCCGTCATGTCCAACGACTACGACTCTTCAGATGACGAGTCAGATGACTATAAAGCGAAGCTCGTGCGAAGAAAGCATGCAGAAGAAAAAGCCAAGCAAGGTCAGAAATTCTTGGAGCAACCTCAGGCATTCAAGATCAGAACTAGGTATCTGAACCAATCGGCATATCAGGTGTGGTGGAGGCCTGGAATCGTCAACAAGATGTTATGGGCAGCGTGTGAGACTGGGGACAACTACGAGATAGACTTTCTTGTCAAGTTTGCGCATGCCGATATCAATGCGGTGGATTTCAACATGAAGCACCTCACCGCGCTAATGAGATCAGTGATGAACGGCCGGAAGGAAACAGTGAAGCTTTTGATCGGCCATGGCGTAAACGTGAACGCAACAGACAGCCACGGCTCCACCGCCCTTCACTACGGTGAGAAGAGCAGCTGGATCCCTGATGCCTGATCTGCGTGTTTGACAGCTGCAATCTTTGGCTGGCCGAGAATCGTAGAGATGTTACTGGAAGCAAAAATCGACAGGTGGAAACAGAATCAAGACAACAAGACAGCACTGGACAGTGCTCTTGAGTTTGTATGCACCATGGTGGAGGTTGAGTGTTGTTTGATACCAGATGTCCAGGTGGTGCCATATGACGCGGACAGAACGCCTGAGGAGGACGATTTCATCGATCCAAGGAGAGTGTTGCGGTTGAAAGGGAATCAAGTCGTCATAGCAGGTGACCTGAGAATCTAACAGCAGGTTCTCACCATACTCTCATGCTCTTAGGTAGCAACTGGGAGACGGTGGGCGTGTTGCGAGCCGCCATGGGTCTCCCACCTGCCGACATGCTACACCTGACGGGCGACATCGAAAATTTTGACTGGCTGGAGGAGAAGGTTGAAACCTACACGAGTCATGTAGGAACAGCACCTGTCTTGTCCTCCATGGCATGAGATTGATCATGTCTCAGCTCAGAGCTCATCCTCAAACAGTCGTCGACATGCCTCCTGTTCTTCCTGACGGTGATGACTGTTTGTACAATCCTTCTGCTCATCATACCTTGTTTCTGTTCAGGTTCAGCCTGGCATGAAGGACTGATCTTGGACAATCTCCCTAGGAAGCGAAGCTCTCCTTTCTGGAAACCGTACGAGGTTCTTTTGATGGATATTCTTCTGATTGTGGCGAGAGAAGACTCGATGATGATTGTGATGGTGGTGATGGTGTCGACTGTTCCTAGGGCATTGATTTATGAAGAAGGTGACGATGACGATGACGATGACGATGACGATGACGATTGATAAAGTTGTGGTTGTAGTTAGAGTGAAAGTGATGGGTATCGTGGTCATGATTATGATGATGATAATGGTATCCTGATGGTGATTATCATGATGATGTCATGTATCTTTGAGAGCTACTGATGGCAGGTTCAAGAAGCTGTTTGGCCTGCTGGTTTTCCTGCAGCGAACAAGAGGGCTGGGGAGTTCGGTAGGACGCGCCTTCCTGCCCGTCGAGCTGAAAACGTGTCAGGTTTTCCCATCCCTGAGTTACCAGAGTTGAACAAGAAGGACTTTGATCGATGGAACACTCCATGGAGGTTCCCAGTGACCTACGGGGACGGCAGTAGAGGAGAACAAGGACGGGAGCACTGGCAAGGCGAGGAGGGGAGCGGGTAAGATGACTGTACATTGTTTCTTGCACTGATTCTTCTCGCATACAACTAGTGTACAGGGCAGGAGAGCAAATGCCTTTGTGGAACAGGAATCGTCTGCTCCTTCTCCTCCTCGTGCTCCTCCCCCGCCCAAGGCTCCGCCGCCTCCTCGGGCGCCTCCTCCAAGATAGCATGTCATGGCTTCTGACAGAACCTCTTGCTGTCGTTACGTTTGATAACCCTCCCCTCTTCCTCTGGTATCCTTTCTTCCTCATCTCCTGCTACAACCTGTCACTTGCTGCTACTTCTTTCTTGCTGCTACTGCTTCATGTTGTAAATGTAACAGGACGGGCATTCGTCGCTTGCTGGCTCCTCCTGCGGCTCTAGTGTATGAAAGCTTTCTATCGCAAGTCGCCATGTCTCTTTCAACTTCTCGTCCTCGTAGCAGCTGCCGTCCGCTTCAGCAAACCAGTGTCGCCATCTCTTGGCTCTGTTCATCTTCCCTCTAATGCCCACGATGAAGTTGTTGTTCACCACATACGGCACTCTCCCGCACTCGTGGCATTTCTCCCGGAGCTCTGCTCCATCCCCCCCTATCCCTCCGTCGTACCATATCCCACTCACGTAATCGCACTCCTCGAGCGTGAAGAGACGGATCTCATCAGTCGCCCTCATCTCCCCCAGCACATGGTTCAGCAGGTCCATCTCGTTCGCTACTGGGCCCAGGTACTTGTCAAGACGACCGTCTTGCTGCGTCTGAATGATCTCGTCGTATCTTCTGTCCATCTCCTTCCACAACTTCACAGTCGCCCGAGTCGCCCGCAGCAAAGTCCATCCGAACCCGATCTTTCCTGTGTTCCAGAAACCAATGACGTCAGCATCTGCAGCCCATCGTCAGTTACAAGTCGACCCGTCTCAGTCCCTCACCGGAGTACATCAGGTTCACGTCATAGAGCGGGTTCCGCAACCAGATCGCGTCGGCCTCGAACAGCAGCATGTCGATCCCTGCGACGATGAGCCGCTCCATCAGCCGATTCCTGTGCTGGGTGAGGAGGAAGAAGCCGAGAGACTGAAACTCGAAGGCGGAGGGCAGCTCCTCCCCATCCACTTTGAGGACGCTCCTCACGATAGTGGCGTTGTGAGACGATCGCCTGAGCTGCTGGTAAGCATCGTCGTCGGAGGCGATGATCAAGGTTCTGGAGTGTACCCCATCCATCTTGGCGGTATTGCACAGCCAGGACTGAAAGAAAGGAACGTACTCTCTGTTACCGAAGGCCACCAGCAAGAACTGCTCCTGGGCCGGAAAATTCCAGAGCCTCTGATGTACCCTCAGCGCGATCTCTATTAGGTCTTCCTCTTCTGAAGCAGCTCCTGGACTGCCATCAGGAGGCCATGCGGCATCGAAGTATGGCAGTTGGAGGCGATCGCTGCAGATGTTGGACCCAGCCTTGCGGCAGTTGGCCATAGCAGAGCTGTCAGTGTCAACGCGCAGCTCCCGAGCCATGCCGGAGGAGAAGAGTATCGTGCTATCCTGAGCCGACGAGTCGCAGGTAGTCAGTTGCAAGCTCGAGAAGTAGCAGCCTCGTTCAAGCATCGCCTCTGCTGCGAAGGAAACATCAGTTTCAGGCGTGGAGATGGAGATTTTTTCCATGTCATGCAACAAGGAGCCGACCGAGATGAGCATGTTGACACAAGTCACAGCTGGGCACCGCGAGGTGATTCGAATATCAAAAGGAAACACGGCAATGTCTCCCTCCCGATAGCGGAAATCTGCCGAGAAGTCGCAACTTTCAAGCTGATCGTAAGTCTCCATCCGCGACATGCTAGTTCGATCTGTCTTGTTCAGAACCCTGTTATAGCAGGATGCAAAATTCGTTTCTTCCTGCTCCAGGCACCACCACATCTTGTGCGACGAGTCCTCGAACCGGCCATCCACCACCGCAACGTACCTCGCCCCTCTCAAGCACCCCTCCTCCCCTCCCTCTCCCCCTACCTCATGTATCGATAGCGTGTGCATCCCCCCCTCGTACCACCCCGACCCCTTCACCGGCCCCGCATGCCCCTCCCCCGTCTCCTCCCACTCCAGCTCCTCCCGCGTCAGTCGCTTCATCGCTCTGCTCGTGACGTACGACTCCCCCCCCTCCCCCGCGTGCGTCTGATGGAAGGCCCTCAGCCCGCCTCCCCCCGCCTCCTTCCACATCCGCCCCGCCATCCTGTAGCTCCCCCGGCATGACTTGGGATGCTCCCGGTACTCCCCGTCTACCGCCTCCGCGTACATCACACGCTCGCAGTTCACCCCCGAGTCCAGGAAGAACAAGAACCACGCCCTCTCCTCCTCCGAGTAGTACAGCACCGGGTCAAGCGCGTACCCCCGCACCTGCTCGTCCCGTAGCAGCGCTTGCTTCCTCCTCCAGCCCCGCGGCCACTCCTCCGTCGACGACTCGTACAGCCATAGCACCGGCTTCGTCGGCCCGTTGGTCGCGCACGTGATCATCAGCCGCCGCCTCCCCCCTGCCCCCTCCGCCTCGATCACGAAAGGCCAGCTCAGGTGCCAGCTCTCTCTCAGCACCACCCCCTCGTACTCGAAGCTGCACAGCCCGTCCCGGCTCACCGCCAGCCCGATCTCGCCTCGCTGGCAGTCGTTGTTGAGCACCTCCATGAACAGGTACCACTCCCTCCCGTCCCCCTTCACCAGGAACGGATCCGCCAGGTACAAGCCCCGCACGTCCTTGACGTCGCCTGAGGTGAGGATGGGGGGGGCGTGGGAGGCGCTGGCGATGGCGTCTTGCATGGAGTCACCCAGCCCGATCCCAATGGACCAGATCATATTCAGATGAACAGGGTTGGAGGCTGTTGGAGCCGAAAGTCTCTCGTCCTCTTGTTGGCTGTCGTCCTCCGCTGCCTCAAGAAGTAGGAAGGATTCACTAGATTTCTTCCTCATGATCACAATGTACCCGCCGTCGTAGAAGTCATGGATGAAGACTTCATCGATGAAGGGGAGGAACAGCCATTCTTTCCAATACCTGTGGCTCATGCCTGTCCTATCTTCGATGATAATCCAGCCTCCCGGCTTTGCTATCCGGATGTTCTCATGGATAGTGACTTCTCGCTCTCTATCGTCCAAGTGCGCGATCACTGCAAGGCACAGTACGATGTCGAAGGATTCCGACGGGATCCAACCCAACTTGGAGCAATCGCTCGCGCAGAAATGACCTTGCGGCATGAGCCGTTGGATCACGTCGATGCAAGGATGCTGGATGTCAGAACCTGCCAACTTCAGGCCCGGAAACCACAGAGCAACAATCTCCAGCGTGGTTCCCACTCCACAAGCGTTCTCGAACAGCAGCTCGTCTCCTGCCACGGGTATAAAGTCGAGCATCTTGTAGGTTCGATCTGCCCAGTAACGCCATGGCAACGAGACTGTCGGCACTTGACCTGGCGGTCCTCCTCTCCAGCTGAGCCAAAGAGGATCCAATTTCGAGAAGTCAGCACCGTCATATTGATTGTCTGGTCGACGATACTGGCAATCGTAGTTCTTGCTGTTATTACGGCACCAATCCTCCTTGTGTTGGAAACAACTCATATGCTCGAATAAAGATGAATCCGGCCTGACTTCCGGTGCAACTTGGTCAGTCCCAAGAACAATGCTGACCTTCAAATCCGCCTGTCTCAACATGGACAAGTGTAAAACAATAGGTTCGTTGTCAAATAATTGAAGGAGATTGCAAGCAAGCCTCTGATGTATGCTAGCAAGATCACATTCCATCTTCAAGTAATCTGCAAATCCTCCATGATAACTGATGGAGAAGCTATCGATCGAGAGATTGTCTATGACAGAAACAATGAGCTCCTTGCTGCCATGCATCGAGCTGTTGCTTTGAATGTAAAGTATGCTGCCTTGAAGTTTGAAATCTAGATCCAACATCCACGCATTAGATGACGAGACTGTGCTGAAAGATTTGGTGAGCGCTTTGTAAGGACCAAAGGGATTGTTCGAATGATACAACTTTGAGGAACAAACTCCACTCTCATTGATACATGATAAAACAGTGAGGAACCAGTTGCCATTGGACTTGAAGATGTTTGGATTTCGGAACAACGATCCCTGCAGTAAGGTTCCACTTTTCCTCCAACCAAACGGAAAGTTTTGGGCGGCATACAACTTGATGGACTTTAGAGTGGGAGAAGATACCAGCATGTACCAACTATCTTCACTCCTGAAAATGTGAGGGTCGGACATCTGATGAGCTTCCGACAGAACAATCTTATGCATTGACCAACTGACCAGGTCCCTGCTGATGATCACACCGATGCTACCCTGATCCGGCGACTTGAAGGCAGCCATCTTGTGAAAAAGGTAGTAGAGTGGAGGAGAGAGTCCGTCCGTGACCAGACAAGGATCCTCGAGCTGGTCCACCTGACCTAGACCTCTGTACAAGAGTGGGGAGACCATGGCCTGAGGGCACGTCTGAGACGGCGAGAGGTCTTCGATCCGTGACAAGACTTTTAGAGCCCGTTGGCCGGCAGACCCCGGGAGCCTCGTGACCTTTCCGCAGTATCGAAGCGTGCAAGAGCTGAACCTTTGACTGCTGCAGTCTGATACCATCCAGAGGAAGGTCGAAGAAAGATTCTCGCTGGGTAATGGATACTCGAGGCTGAAAGAACATCGAGAAGAATTCTTGTCGGGGATGTACCAGCACACCTCGCTCAGCTTCTGTTTGGAGGTGACATGGCTATCACATCCTATAAACGAATCTGAGAGGCAGACAGAAACATGTCCCAGCAACATCTCCTCGGTTGCTCCGTGCTCTATTGAGAAATGCAGCCAGGGGACGTTGTCAGGCTTGTGGAACAAGTTGACATCTCCGCTGCATTCCACATCCGCATCATCAGCGCAGGAGCAACAAGACAAGAAGGAAGAGATGAGGAGGGCCAAGAGGACGAGAGAGGATAGAGCCTTCATCGGTCTGCCAGCACGAGGAAGACTACAGCCCCTTCACATCCTCCTCCTCCCTCCCCACTCATACTCTATCCCATCACTCCATCGCATTCCAGGATATCACTCATCAATAAGATCACTTCGATTAAAACCTTAGAGCAGTTTTTTCGCTGCCTTTTTACTTTTCTAGTTTTATGTTGAGGCGGACTTGTTAGTTTACCCTTTATATCTGTCGGACCTTGTGGCATACTGGCAGTAAAGTCATTGGCTACCTCGCTGCTAGACGACGTGAGCTCGCCTGCCCTCCCTCTCAACTTCTTCCCCTTCCTTGAGCCAGCCCATCCACCTAGGCGTGATGGCTCCTCCGAGTGCAGGACTTTCCGCGGGCCCTTCCCCGTACGGTCACTCCCCGCCGCCGGGAGTCCCCCGGTCGGAGTGCCTACCGTACCCCTCTCTCCGAGGCCGCCTTCGACCTCTACTTCGGCGGAGAGGAACCGAGAATAACTTGCCCCAGGAGGCAGAGCAAGTGGAGGCAGAAACCGCAACAATCTCCGCAGTGGGTAAAACTTCGCTTGATCCGGACCCCTGGCAAGCCTGGGTGGGGGACCCGTCGGAGCCCGGCTCGGTACTACCGTAGTACCGTCCCGGCCGGATCACACAGCGGGCCCATCCGAATAGACGCGACGGTTTCGGAGTCACCGTTGCCAGCGCTTGGGCCACGTGACTCCTTCAAGTTTCTTTTTTTTCCTTCAAGACCGTCTGACACAGCGGCGGTCCGACGGTCCGATCCGGCCGGCCGGGTGGCTCCGCATATCTAGCAATGAGCAACTTAACTCTGAGTAAAAAGAAGCAACGGAGTCATAATGCGAGCCTTACGAATAACCTCGCCGCTCCCGGACCCTGAGGGCCCGGCTCGGAGTCTCACAGAGGCTCGGAGTTGCCTTGAAGGCACTGAATGATGACCGTTCGACATCGGGACATTGAGGTCCTCGTGATAGTCAAACATTGCTGACAGCTAAAAAGTCGTAGTCTATATCTTTAAAAGTCTAGTCACACGGTAGTTTGCCATGATAGCTAACCGTTTCGAGTTGTGCACCTCAGCGGCATGCTGGCAGTAAAGTCATTGGCTACCTCGCTGCTAGACGACGTGAGCTCGCCTGCCCGGCCCTTCCTCTCAACTTCTTCCCCTTCCTTGAGCCAGCCCATCCACCTAGGCGTGATGGCTCCTCCGAGTGCAGGACTTTCCCGGCGCGGGCCCTTCCCCGTCACCCCCGGAGTCCCCCGGTCGGAGTGCCTACCCCTCTCTCCGAGGCCGCCTTCGACCTCTACTTCGGCGGAGAGGAACCGAGAATAACTTGCCCCAGGAGGCCGGGCAGAGCAAGTGGAGGCAGAAACCGCAACAATCTCCGCAGTGGGTAAAACTTCGCTTGATCCGGACCCCTCCAAGCCTGGGTGGGGGACCGAGCCTCGGTACTACCGTCCCGGCCGGATCACACAGCGGGCCCATCCGAATAGACGCGACGGTTTCGGAGTCACCGTTGCCAGCGCTTGGGCCACGTGACTCCTTCAAGTTTCTTTTTTTTCCTTCAAGACCGTCTGACAGAGCGGTCCGACGGTCCGATCCGGCCGGCCGGGTGGCTCCGCATATCTAGCAATGAGCAACTTAACTCTGAGTAAAAAGAAGCAACGGAGTCATAATGCGAGCCTTACGTCTCTCATAACCTCGCCGCTCCCGGACCCTGAGGGCCCGGCTCGGAGTCTCACAGAGGCTCGGAGTTGCCTTGAAGGCACTGAATGATGACATCGGGACATTGAGGTCCTCGTGATAGTCAAACATTGCTGACAGCTAAAAAGTCGTAGTCTATATCTTTAAAAGTCTAGTCACACGGTAGTTTGATAGCTAACCGTTACCTGCTGACGGCCGCCTCACGTCGTATTCGACCTTCTTATACGCCTTGAATCAAGGGTCCTCTAGTACTCACTTTTCTCGAGTCTGGGCCTATGTAAAATAGCTGAGGTTTCCACCCAAACCCTTTTTGACCTTCCCCTTGGGACGAAATATAGTGCTTCCCTCGTTTCGCTTCTTCTTCACCCCCTCTCGCCGACTGCTACATCGCCCTCCCTCCCACGCTCTCACGCCTCGATCTCTCTGAGGTCTCGCCTGCCCTTCCTCTCAACTTCTTCCCCTTCCTTGAGCCAGCCCATCCACCTACGTTCTCATGGCTCCTCTGCACGACTCTCCCTCCCCCGTCCTCCCTCTCCTCCCTACCCCTCTCTCCGCCTTCGACCTCTACTTCGGCTCTGGCTCCCTCGCTGCCTGCCCGCCCTCCGACCCCTCATGCCTCTTCCTTGACTGGAGCACAGTGGGCTTGGACCAAGGGAGCCGGGAGGCGTGGATGGAGGCCTGGGAGGGGCCGGGCCTTCCAATAGAGAAGGAGGATACAGATTTGTTGGAATGGAGTGATACAGAGGACGTAGAAGACGACAGCAAGCGAGAGAGCAGACAGCGAAGGGCAGATACATACAGTAAGCGATTTATGATGGCAAAAAGAAGCAGACCAGTAAGATTTGGGACTATGTGATCTGAGGGAGACAGAAGGAAGAAATGGATACAGCTTTGTACATATTGAGTAAACGATTCGCAAACTTTCAGTTCCTTTCGCAGAGTTTGTCAACGAATTCCGGAAGAAGGGTCCAACATCTTGGTCATCTTGACCTCCTGTCAAGCGGTGGAGGAGAAGACCTCCTCACTTTCCTCTTAGCTAACCTTCTTGCTTGTGGCAATTTCCAGAAAAATTGCGCACAGCACTAAGAGGGCAGGGCGGGTAACTTCAGGCAGGCTACTGAACGGTAAATCATGCAGACTCTTCAGACCCAGTGATGAGCGCCTACGATTCTGTCCCGGCCAGCTCGGGTTCCAACGGTCACGGTCCGTGTTGCAGATGACGGCAGCCAGCCGTCGGAGTAACGGGCCGGCCGAGCGTGCCCGGCATAATTGACAGGGCGGATTGCCTCTGACAGCCGGGCGTGTGGTAGTACTTGTGTAGTACTTGTGGTACGGTAGTACTTGTCACTCCGGTAGTACTTGTGGTAGTGCTTGTTGTAGTACTTGTTGTCACTCCGGTAGTACTTGTGGTAGTACTTGTGTTAAGTTAGTACTTGTTGTCACTCCGGTAGTACTTGTGGTAGTACTTGTGATAGAGCTACAGAGTGACCGGCCGATGATCTCCGAGCCGACTTGACTGGTCTTACTTGTATCCACTTACGGTTGATGATGTCTGATCCATACAGGTCCTTTAACCCTAGTGTAGTCTCCTTTTCTGTAACACCCGCCATTGCCCCCTGCCTCCTCCCCCCTTCTTGCTCCCTCCCCTCCCTACCCCTCTCTCCGTCTTCGACTCCTCTGCTTCGGCTCTCGCTCCCTCGCTGCCTGCCCGCCCTCCGACCCCTCATGCCTCTCAGGCCCGCCGGTAAAGCAGCTGAAACCCTCTCTTCATTCAAAGTTAAGTCACCTGCCCAAAAATCAGTCACTGAGTACGAGTATAGTACCCAGTGACCGTGCGGTCCGATCACCGGACCGCCCCGGGCCCGCGCTCTCGGCCAGGCCGCGGGGGCCGTCCGAACTCCGAGGCTCAGCACTGGCGGGGATCTGCCCGCGGCCGGGCACTGAGACTCGGCCCCGGAGTGGGCCCGGGAGCCGGCCCGGGCTGCGTCCGATACCGTACGGTCACAGTGACGGTGCCCTGCCAGTATCCAAGTTTCAAAAGTTTGGACTGTCGAAGTTGGTCACCGTGGCTGAGTCCGGTCAGGTTTGGATATTCGAAGAGACTCCGAGGCTTCACTGCCGCCAAGCGAGTGACTTGTAAGCAAGACCGTCAGCAGATCATCGGATATGCGGCACCAGCGGGTAGGCGTAATGGCGTAGGTCGGATCATGCAATGAATCGACGCGTTCTGAAACCTACGGCACGGTCTTTACTCGTATCTTCACTCGTATCCATAACTTATTAGCCTCCCGGGACCAAGCCCAAAATTCACCCCCTTCCCGAGAGTCACCCTCCTCCTCACTTCTACTCCTTGTTGCTCGCTACTTGTCCTTACTTCTCCCTTCTCCTCTTGCCACCTGAGTTTCTGTTCGTACCCTTCCGACAGATACCATGGCTCCTCTGCACGACTCTCCCGTCCCCGTCCTCCCTCCCCTCCCTACCCCTCTCTCCGTCTTCGACCTCTACTTCGGCTCTCGCTCCCTCGCTTCCTGCCCGCCCTCCGACCCCTCATGCCTCTTCCTTGACTGGAGCACAGTGGGCTTGGACCAAGAGAGCAGTGGCGGCAGAGCGTCAGACGAGGAGGATGAAGTTACGCAGCAGGAGAGTGATACAGAAGACATGGATGGAGACTGCAGGCACGAGTGCAGGGCGATATGGGTGGCTGCATACGGTAAGCATGGTCACGATAGGGATCAGCAAGAGACGGCGATGATAAAACAGATGCAGAGGAGCAAAGCATGTCTAGGGAGACAGTGAAGGCAGAGAAGATAAAGGGAGGAGGAAGGGGGGGCTCGGCTTCTCTTCTCCTTCCCTGCTTGACAGGAGGGTGAGCTGAAGAAGATCCACACGAGAGGAGGAGCAACACCAGCGAGTTCGAGCTGTCGATCGTGACCAGCATATCTTGTATGGTATCAATCTCGTGAGAGCTCATCAGGTCTTACTGGCATCATCGGTCGATATCTGCTTGAGGGGACCGGTTTAGTACTCTTGGCCTTTAGTTGCTATATCAACTTGTATTATCTCCTTGAATGATCTCCACTCACATGGCCGCTATCACCTCCGAGCATGCCAGCACCCGCCATCTCTCCTCTCGTACCTCACGCCAGCTCACGGCGGAGGAGCTTGCAAGTAGGTCACGGCTTCTTCCGACTGGCTTCCTTGAAACTCCCAGTCCCACTCCAGCGGCGCTCGCCACTTCCCGCTCGACACGGGGCACGCGTACATCCAACGGTCGTAGAGAGGATTTCCCAGCTGCGCACTCGTGACTCGACCAGTCGCGGTGCACTCGCGGGTAGGGTTGCCATTGACGCGCATCCTCGTGAGGACATCGAGAGCTCGCCGCTTGCCCGGGTTGGCGTCGCTCGATCCTGCTGGCGGTGATCAGAGGAGAAGCGAGGGAGGGGAGGGGAGGGGGGCAACTGACAGCCGAGGGGGAGGCGGCGAGTAAGCAAGTGGACAGTGAGGGAGGAAGGAAAACAGTAAGAAGGGAATGAACGGGAAGGGAGGGAGAGAGGAGGGCGAGCAAGAGGCATATAAGCCTAGTACCTCCCGTGAGCTCCTCTGCCGTGTATTCATCGAAGGTTCTCTTCTTCTCGAGGGGCTTGAACGGAAGTCCGTGGGTTTGAACTGTGTCATCCTAGGTGGAATCAGCGCGAACCTGGTCGACCAGTCGAGTACCTGTCGGTCGATCAAGTCCATCTTGTAATATCCACAAGCTTTCGAAAGGAATCCTGAAGAATTCCAAACGCCTCACTCTAGAGCACAGGTCAAACTGCTCATGGACAATTACCTGGTTGCGGCATCGCCAGGCACAAGAAATTCTGAAGGGACTGCAGCAGTATCAGCCCCGATTCCGGCGATCTTCAAGCTCACCTCCTGATCAAACCCTGGCTTCGAGAAACGCGCGTTCAACTTCTCTGGAAGGCCGATCTCGGGGTCAACCTGGCAGACGGGGCACATTCAGCGCACTAGTGAGATCAGGGTAGAACGGACCTTGTTCTGAGCCAGGATCTCCTTGAACATCCTGTGCTTGTCCGCTACCGTCTACGAGCATCCCGTCAGCACCTCGACCACTAGGAAGATCCAGAGAGACCTGAGGGTTCTGCTCGGTACCGCTCGCATTCCTCGGGACTTTGTGAGCATTCAAAATGTTCTCGATGATCTTTCAAAGGGGGGGAGACAGAAGTCAGAGAGCAGGGGAAGGAGAAACAAGCAGACCTCGATCAGATACTTGATGTCAGACTCGTCATATGGGAGGGACGTAGTTTGAATGTCCGAGTCCAAGATCATGGTCGACGTCCCCATGTCGGTTCCCATGGGGTCCATGACGACGTCCATGCCTTTGGAAACTCATCAGTGAAAGAAGACCAGGAGCTTCAGTCGGATACTTGATAGGTCGTCAACAGGAGGGGGAGCGTGGACGGTGGGGGTAGGAGGTGGAGGAGGAGCAGCGACTGTGTTTCCAGAGTTGTCAGCTCCACTTGCGCTTGTGTCCTGAAAATCAAACAATCAAAGGGTCGAGTCATAGCTGCACCATCCCTTTGCCTCCTTCACCTTCGGCTCCTTCGGTTGGCTGTCCCTCAGCTGCATCAAAGATCAGCTGTGCATCGGATTGAGACAGAGAGACTGGCAGACCTTCTTCAGGTAGTAGCTCAACAAGTCTCGAGTGAAGGTCAGGGCCTCGGGATCCAGCAGGAAATATTTCCCAAACAGCATGCGAGAGGCAGCGCTGGTGTCGGCCCCACCCGCCTGCTGCGCTTGTCTCGACTTCTCACTCTTGATGATGTTGGTAGTGGCATGCCTGGGACCCATCAGGTCAGAAGACATGCAGCGACTGGCTGGTGAGTACTTGAGATTCCAGACCGTCAACCCTACGATGCTTTCCCCCATGGTCAACATCATGTCGCTGCACAACGCCTGGGAGCCGATCAGAGATCCGACGGCCACTGGGCGACTTGCGGTCACCTTGAGCCTGCTGGTAGATGCTGGCGAGACTCCAGCGTTCGCTGAAGAGAGAAGTCCGTGAGCAGGAGCAGAGCTGAGAGCGAGGAACATCCAGCACCTCGTTGGGCTGCCTGATCGCCTCGGGGCATGACCGGCAGTGCGAACCGGAAGCAGTCGAGGAGGTAGAAGAGGAGCAACCTTGCTTCTGAGGACGTGCACAAGAACTTGACAAGGTGTCAAAGCTTGAAAACGTCGCAAGAGTGAGAGCAGTGCTTTCCCACCTGGTGCTCAGCTGACATGGAGTGAATCTTGATCGTCATGATCTCGTAAGCATGACGGTAAAATCTTCGTTGCTGAAAGAGAAGTGGCATCAGTTCCGATGAGAAATCTCCTCTTCTCCCCTCCATTCCCCTCCCCTACATTATCTGGCATCTGCTTGTTGTTTTCACGAAGAAGCTTTACCACATTCTGAGAAATCATCAGCATCCTGTCGGCCGCATGCTCGGCTTAGATGCGGCAAGATAGGTTCCCACCTCCATGATAGAGAAAGCCATCGGGTGCGAGGTCATGATGCCGCCAAGAGCAATCAGCGCGTCCCAGGCTTCGCTCAACTTCGCCAAGCTCACTTCAAGCTGATGGACCTGGCGGGTACGAACAGTCACGGTCTACCTCTAAGAGCAGGTGTAAGCACAATGTGAGAAGCAATCGACTGAGGCGTTGCGGTCTTGTCGAGGGCCCATGGGTGCGCCATCTCCACCACCTGCTTGCAGGCATGAGCCGACAATTTCAAGTCTCTTGCTTCTCTGCCTTGGCTCGTCCTGCGCTGTCCAAGAGGAGAGCGCAGTTGCCTGTTGGTGAGCTGCAGCCGTTGACGATACTTCCGAACACAGTCACGTGCGGATCATAAGGCGCTTGCTGATCAGAGATGTACAGTTAGAATCATCTTGACAAAGATGAGATTGACCTGTAGGGAATCCAAAAATCGTGACTCGACTGATCCATCACTGTATCCGATGATGATATATTGACTGTCGAATGTGATGGTTATGTTGATAGGAGTCGTCCCAGCCGTGCACGCCAGATCTACACTGGTCTCCTTGCTCCATATCATAGCGTCCAACTTCATCATTCCAGTCAAATAATGAGTTTCTCACAGCAACGTACAGCATACCTCAACCATGCTCGCGTTTGCTTGATTCACATTGGCAGACTTGCTGCGGTGCGACAGCTTCAATCGCTCTAGTCTGATGATGTCTTGCGAGCCAAACTCCGACGAGTTCCTTCCACCACCAGACACCGTCTGATAGATCAAGTACAACTCATCCGACTACATCAAGCTCCCAAGTCAGCAGTTCGTCAAACCTCGCGACCTCATTTGAGCACCTTGGTGGGATTGAAGCTCATCAAAAGGAGCTGAGGAGCTGCCCACTGCCCCTTTGACAAAGGGAATAATCGGATATCGGACTTGAGCTGCGTCCTGGTGTGGGGAAAGGAAGTGACCTGGGGAGAGGATCAGATGAAAGTCATTCTCTGCCGTCCACGACCTTGAGAGGATGAAAACGGCACTTGATGTAAAAGATGACAATTTGACTCTCGTCTGCAACTGCAATCATGAGAGCCTGAGGAATGAATCAAGTCAGAAATTCGTATCAGGGCTACTGGGAAATCTCAACCTTGTCTCGGATGATGGCAGTAGCCGACTGCACAAACAAGACCGCCTGGGAACAAATTTCAATCAAATGGCGCATGATCATCATTGACATCATCATCATCATTGACATCATCATCATCATCATCATCATCATCATCATCATCATCATCATGGACATGAAGAGCAATAACTACTACAAGTACAAGATAACATCCATCCTCAGACCTGATTAGAAGTTGCTTCTGCGGAGCTTGACGAGCTAGTCGACCTCGCACTAGTCCTCACGAGACTTTCCGGCAACTCCAGTGTGGAGAGCTGCGTCGACGCAGAGGCCCATTCGGTTCCATGGAGACTGTTGGACAGCTCCAGAAAGACTCGTGCCTCACCATATCGGCTCAGGGCAAAGAAGCACAGGCAGCCTGGAGGCGTCTTGAACACAAACTCGCTGGATTTGGACTGGGCGTTCGCCTGCCCTTGCGGCGTCGGAGCATCCCTACGAGCAACGTCTCGTCGATACTTGCCGTCATACCCCTTGGTGTTCTGGCTGGCTGACTGCGTCTGCTGTGCGGCAGTTGCTGGGTTGCCGCTGGAGAAAGGTGGCGGAAGGGAGTAGACGGGGCCAGTGTTGAGCCAGTGCACGAGTTGAGTCGAAGAGAAACTGAGACGATGGTGCAGGACCCATCTGTTGATCAACCCCTGCGAGCAGGTCAGGCATCGTCCGTTGGAGCATCACCTCCTACCTTCACAGGCTTCCACACGCATATGCAGCTTCGACTGTCCGCCGACATCAGCACCAGACCCATCTGAGCTGGAGCCCAAGACAGATGAGAGATGTCATGCTCGTGTCCTCCGCAGAGCATGCTATGCCTCTCAGGCCTATCAACATGCAAGACATAGATAGAGGGCGAAGACGTGTATCCGAGCTTGCCTCTGTAACCCTGTGGCTTGTTTGAATTCATGGCGAAAGCGAGCAGCCCGTCATCACTCCAACAGCAGGCACTGACAACTTGTTTAGGGTCCATGAAAGGGCCATCGGGTGGAGGTCCAGGAAGATTGAGAGAATAAATTTCACGCATCGGCATCGTGAGTGGCGACTTGCTTAACGAGTTCTGATTTCCTTCAGATGCCCTTGTCACCTTCACCCCACCTCACAGCAGTTCCCCTGCTCTTGACTTGTTTAGCAATTCAGCTTGGTTCAGTTCGGTCAGTATCTCTCCCTGCTAGTTTCTGCCATCCTGTCCTCTCTCTGTCTCTCCTCTCCTCTCCGCTCTCTTCCATCATTTCCTCTCCTCTCCCCCATGAATTCTCCAATCCCCGCTCCTCTGATCACCCCTTCTACCACCACCCCCACCATTTCCAAGCCAGGAAACCAAGCCAAAAGTACCCGTGAACTTCGACGCTTGTCACCTACCCCACCCCCCCGAATGTCGCCCGTCTGGTCTCGGATACTCACGGATACTCGTGGATACTTTGAGTTTTCCTTCACGGATACTTTTTGGGATACTTTCGGATACCTTACGGATACTGTCTCTTCGCTGCCATGCATGCAAGAAACCCGCTGATGGGTGGAGAGGCAGGAGGGGAGGATGGCAGACACAGCGATGGTGGGAGAAGGACCAGGAGATCGCTGGTGGCACTCGCCATAGTGGGAGCAGTTGCTCTCACAGCGCTCATGGCTCTGACCTGGTCACCCTCCAAGTCAAATGTAGTTGTCCTCGACGATGCGGAAGCCGAGGAAGCTGATGGTGGCGATGGCGGCGATGGCGGCGAGTACGGGGTCTCAGCCACCTTGCAGCCTCGTGTGCTGGGCATCAAGCACTATCCTGATCCTCAGGGTATGCCGGATGCAGGACTTATCAAGAAGACAGTGGACATGGACGCGCAGTCTCTCTTCAGACTGAAGCTCTTTGCTAGGAAGCTGCACTCCCTCCGCCTGGAGTCAGATGATTACTCTAGGAAGTGGAAACGGCTGCTCACTCAGGCACGGGAGCTGGGTGTAGACACAACCTCGATGAAGATGGCCGTCAGTACCCTCCACCGCCCCATGGGATTGCCAGGGCGGCGAGGAGTACCTGGACCGCAGGGACTGCGAGGGTTGGAAGGACCTCCAGGACGAAACCTAGTTGGACCAAGAGGTGAAGAGAATCGTCTGCGCTATGTCCGCTGAGAGAGTCTCTCCAGGGCCCATCGGATTCCCAGGCCTTCCTGGGGAGATGGTAAACAGTGCTTTTCTTCGCCATGATTGTTCCCTGTGGGCAACGAACCGCTGCGTGCGCTGACAAGAGTCTCAGGGAAAGCAGGGACGATCTGGAATGCCTGGACCAGCAGGGTACCCTGGACCTCAAGGGGTGGCTGGCAAGAATGGACAACCGGTTCATGTGCTACTTTCATAGACTGGTTGACTTATGGAGGAGCAGGGAACGCCGGGTGCAAGTGGTATGCCAGGGAAACCCGGCCCTGTAGGAGATACCGGGATAGCAGGTAGGCTGATGGAGTTGTTGTTGGTTCCCTGTGTTGACTCTGATCTTCCCTTCAGGACCACCAGGCAGGCCTGGTACGTGGAAGCTGTCAAGCAGTGTTGTAGTATGTTGAAGAAGCGCAGGCGTTGCGGGCCCTCCAGGTCCAGCTGGAGCCAACGGGGTCAACGGGGTCCCGGGTGTGCATGGTGAGAAAGATCCAGATAGGTTTCTTTAGAGCTAGTGTGATACTCAACCGGGCAACAGGTCCTCCGGGCCCGAAAGGGACCCCGGGAGTGACAGGCCTGCCGGGCCCGCAGGGCTTTCGTGGCGTGCGAGGCGTTCGTGGACCTCCTGGACCTCCGGGCCAAGCGGTATGGAGGTGTAGAGCTTGCATGCTGATGGCTGAACACAAATGCAGGGACCCGAAGGCTTGAAGGGGTTGAGGTAGAACCGTCCTTGTCAATCTGAGTTGGTCTTCTAAACTTGTTGTTTCTCTTGGATTGTGCGAGCAGAGGTCCGCTAGGATTTTCAGGTCTGGAACATTCTCGCATGCTGCTCTCACCATCTGAAGTCTTCTTGTCAGGAGCTGCCGGCCCCCCAGGCCCGCCTGGTCCACAAGGTTGTCGATCCCTTAAGACCCTTCTGGCCAACTGAACGAATGTTATGCAGGGCCTAAAGGGATGAGCGGAATTCCAGGCATACCAGGCACACAAGGAATTGCAAAATTTGTTTAGACAAGCCTGCCTTCGCGAAGTGATAACACTTCTGTACAATTCTTGCGATAACCACTCAATACGGTCGTCGTCTCTTCTATTTTTTGTGGTGCGGATGAAGAATAAATTTTCGAAGCAACTAAGTTATGGCCCAAGTTGACCTGCTAATTTCAAGCTCATGTTTCAAATAACCGCCAATCATCAGCCGCCGTGATTAAAATCTTTAGTGAATCAATTTTAACCATCTCCCGAAATCACAGAAGCATTGTCCCTTGAACGGGCTTCGATTCCATGTCCTCTGACATCGTACCATCGCCTTCTTGCGTTGAACCTAGCATATTTACATTTGCTTTTCGACCTTCACCGTCCGAGTCGTTCCTGAACTGCATGCGATACGAATCTGACAGAGAATAGCTGCAAGAGCAAAGTCAACGGACGTGCTGAAGCAAACAAATCAATCATGTACCCGTTGCGGAAAGGAATCGGAAAGTTCGAGCTGCTTTCCAAATCATTGTCATTCATCATCATCTCAGCGCATATCTGTCAAATGGCCAGACCTCGTTTCCAGCCTCTGTGAGCTGCTCTCCTCGCTCAGTCTGGCAGTGTCTGGCCGAATCCGAATGTTGACTTGGAGCATCATGGCATCAAGGGACTACCCTCCAAGTCAACACATGTCCATCTTCTTACAAGTCAGCAGACCTGGCTTTTGAGCTCCCTCACTATGGAAGCTGCTTCATCTGGTGATGAGGATTTGACTTGAAACCTGCGCGTCAGGGTGGAATCAACCGGCTGGGAGACGACATGAAAGTAGAAGTACGTAATTTCGGTGGCAGTCGAAAGCAAACGTCGACCACACTTTTCTCGCAGAGAAAGAATGCAAACGTCAGAGAGATCAACCTGATGGTGCGCATTCAGTCGAATAGTTCTCAAAGGTAAGTTCGAGGTACATTGCAAGTTGCAGCAATGGCTTCTATAAACAGATCTTGTTTCGCTTGAGTCCATGATGTTATGTTCATGTCTGATGAGCCCAAGGGTGGTCAACTCAACTTCATGATTGTAGGAGATCAGTCACCTGATATCGTCACAGTACTTTGTATCCATCCATCTTTTGAAGTGGTGTAATTCCTTGGGGAGTCTTGCCAAATTTCTCGTTTCGGGCCCCTCCCGCTCAACCTGGGGCTGAACGGCACCTTGGACGAAGAGGTCGAACGTGGACTGGGGATGGGGTCCTAGAAAATGTGTAAGGAGGCGAGGGGTGCGGGAGGATCCTGTCATGGGGAGGACCTCAGAAGGCAGTCTGAATCTTGGTGTGTGTGGCATATTGCGCAATTCCGCTGAGGACGGGTGTATCTTGGAGAAGAGCTCCCGTGGGGTACTGTTGTCAGGGTATCCGGCACTACGTGGGGTGTCAAGGTTCTTCATGGCTCCCATACTTCTTGGGGTTAAGATAGGCTTGAAATCTTGTGCCAAAGTGTCCGACGCCTTGCTCGTGGCGGAGGAAGGCTAGCGACTACGTGTCACCCCGCGGTCAACACATGACAAGGTTTGCCTACCGGAACGTGCACAACATTCCGTGGAGTCGCTGGCTCGATTTGAATATCTACCATTGAACGAGTCAGAGGTTCATGTGGCATCACTGTGCAACAATACTGCTAGCTGTCTTGTTCTTCGTCCAGCTCGATCGATTGTAATTAGAGCCAGCTTGCATGCCTGCAAAACTTTTCCTGCTTGACAAACAGGAACCAAAAGCTTCATCATTTTCTTCCTCGTTACACATGCACACCCCTGAGCAACGGGCGAATCACCCAAACAAGCGCAAGGTGGGAAAGTTCACTTTACCCCAATTCGGCTCGCTGCTTTGGATCGCCCCCATCTGACCGATTGAACTGTCGTCAACGCTTACAAGGACCTCTGTTCTCACTCGCAGTCGTGTCCGAGCTGCTGCTTCGTCAATCAAGCCCTGGACTTGAAAGACTTCTGGCGCTCCATGACATGCTAGAGATGTGTTGCTCTCTGGTGTATAAGGCTACGAGCTTCCAAAGAGTCCCAAGGGTTCACCTTCAACTTTTTGAAACTTCACTGTTTGCTTAACTCAGCTTGGAGATCGCAGAAGAGAAGTCCCATGCAGCGCAATCACTATCTCTGATCGCCTCTCATCGCCTACTGCTTCTTGTCAGACGCATTCTTCTGCATGGTCCTGACGGTTGCCCCAGCCCCACTCCGCCGGCTGCTCATGTCGCCTGTGGATGTTTCCCGCCCACCCCTGGTTCAACCACCTACCCCCCCCCCCCACTCAGCCATTACCATGTCACCCCATCTTTTCCCCACAACATATAATTGAACCCCCCACCCTCAAAGTGACTTGGTTGACCGAGTACCCCACCCTTTACATCCACCCAGCAGCATCCGGTGCTCCTTTACACCCCTTTCTTTCTCTCGGCCATCAAGAGACCCTATCGACTACCCCCTCCCAACCCCACCATAAACACCGAGGGGACCCCGCCCCTGCTCGTCGACGTGTGCCGACAGTAGGGGAGGGTAGTCCCTCGCACCCCCACCCCCCCAGCCTCCTTGACGGATCGGCGCGATGCTCTATTGTATGTCGGACCCCTACCCCCCTAGTCCTGCTAGTAGAGCCGCCCGATCAGCCGGGTTAAAAGCGACTGGTAACTTTCACCCGACACCACCCGACTCCTCAGTGCCAGCTCAGTCACTGGCCATCGCGGCCGCCGGGTCGCCCGGCGGGACCCGGAGCCTGAGACCGCCGAAGCCCCGCCGGCCGGGCGGCAGTAGGCTTGAACTTACTACGGTCCGACCGGCAGCGCCGGGCTGGCCGCCCCCGCCGAGTCGGATACTAGGGCCCGGCCGTGTGACAGTGGCCCGGGATGGCACCGAGGCGAGTGCAAGATCGTCCGACGGCCAGTGATGCACGATGGTCACTGTTACGGTAGGCTGAGGCGGCGGGTGATCGGACTCCAAGGCCCGCCGGAAGTCACCGTGTGCTCCAGTGCTGGCCCGGGAACCCGGATTCATGGATCATAGGCGAGTGATTCAACTGGAAACTTTCAAGCATCCCCCACAGCCTCGCCGGGAGGCCATACTTGTCGGCGGCGGAAGGGGCCGGCTGGCCATGTATATAGTAGTACAGGAATTATCATAGTATTGCAACCCTGATCGCCTCTACATTACAATGCAACGAGAACCCGAAACTTTCGACCCGGGTTTTTTCGTCTTCATGCCCAGGACCGGATAGAACTCAGAATTCAGAGGCTCCAGCATAGCGTTCCCCGAGCTCATCCAGCCCTGGATCGACGACTTTGAAAAGGCCTTGCGCAATTTCTTCATGGCCTCCCTCATCACATCATCGTTCGCAGGAAGCGGCAAGAATATCAGCGCGAACATGTAATCGTCTTCCGGCTTGAATGTCTTGTCAGGGTACAAAAGAGAGTAGAAATGATTCCTCTTGTAACAGCGTACATCAAAGCTCTCCGAACCCTCAAAGATTGCCGCAAAGTTTTGATTTTGAAGGAACTTTTTGATCTTCTGTTCCAGATCACCTTCGCTGCATTCCATGCATTCCGTTCGATTGATCTGTTTGTCCATGGGAGCAACCCAGATGATATGCTGAGATTTCTCTTGACTGTGCTTCATTCGCTTGTTTTGCAAAGGTTTTATCTCAGTTTCTGGCAAAGCAGAACGCAATTTCTGAAACCAGACTCCCATGGCATAGCCAACGAAAATCAGCATGCCTGCAATGTAGATGCATATGATTATCAAGATTCCTGGCAACTCAGCATCTGGCTCAACGCTCCACAACGTTGCCACAACATTCTCTATGATTACCAAGATCATATTTCCGAAGCAGAAGAGGATGTACCAGTCGAGAATCGTCAGGTAGTTGATGGGAGGCAAGGCGCTGGACACCATGTTCTTGTAGGCAACCATAGTGAGTAGCATGACGAGGGTGACGCTGCAGCGATCTGCCAGTGCCGAAGGTTCGATCGCGAATGCCGCCCAACCGACGGTGGAACAAGTCGTGAGGGGCAGGGCAATATTCATCATCCACAGTGTAACTTTCCTTCGCAAGCTGATGGAAACAAGCAGCAATGAATATTGATGACGCGATATGGATTGCTCCTCAGTGGTTGACGACTCCTCAAACAACATCTCACTGCCGACCGCATACTCAGCCCTCTGGATGAAGTTGTTGGTCTTCAGGCTCGAAGGATAACGGTTGTTCTTGTTCTTGACAAGCTTTACCTTGGTTGAATTTGATTGCACGTCGAAGATGTGAATCCTGTACCCTTCAGGCATCATCTCATTCACTTCTCTTTCGATCTTCTCATTCCAATCCTGCAAGTGGGGAGCTGGACTGGAAACCTCCGGGTTGGGGATGATGATCCTCATGCTGAGAACAGTCGATTGGGAGCCTTTCTCCACCTGCTGCTTGTTGGTGATCAGCACACCAACACACTTCTGTGCGCACTCTATCGCAGTGCGGAGCAGAGAGAAGACGCGATGACAGATATCTTGAATGTTGGTTCCAAGACCATCAGGGAAATCTATCCTCACCTTAATGTCCCTGAACATGCAGTCCATCGGCCACAGGCTGTGAAGACGGATAGTCAACAGCTGGTTGTCAAAGGGAAAGTTTGCCAACTCCATTTCTTCTTGAAGTGTGCATGTCAATCTCCATCTCATGCTGATGATGATAGGAGATGAAGAATCTCCCGGACTATCATCAAAACAGTGATACCAGATCTCGCTCTCGTTAATCGCCATGGCGTTGTCGATCACGAGACGTGGAGCAAAAAATGCAGTGTTGGTGTCATCCTCCTTCAAGTACAGCTTGCCTTTCAACTGATTGGAATCCTCCGAGACATTGATGTCAAACAGCTCCTTCTTGACCTTTAACTCTTTCATCTTGTAGTCAGCCCATGATGCCTCGATGACCATGCATACGGTGAAGGATTGGTTCAACAAGGAGACCTCTACAAGCTTCTCGACGACTAGTCGTACCCTTACTTCGTGAATGATATCTTCAGTTGAATTCTTGCTTCGCTTCTCGTCAACTGGCTGATCTGCAAGCTTTGTCTCGGAGGTAGTTGGGGTGTTCTCGATCATTGAAGAGTCTGATATCTTGTTCATGCCTCCTGGTTTCCTCTCTCTCCCACTATCCTCTTCCTCCCCTCTATCTCCTGTCTCCCTCTATCCTCTGTCTCCCTCTCTCTGCCCTCACTCGCTCTCTCCCACAAGTCGGACTGCGACTAGCTACAGTCTCTGTCCATGCATGATGTTCCACCCAGCCGATAAGTTTACTGCGGTTTTTTTTGATGAGTAGTTTATAACGGCTTCGTAACGGTTGTTATTTCCGGAGACCACCTTCATGGGCGGAGTGGGTGCGAAGTAGAAAGAGGGGAGGGAGGATAACGACCGAGGAGGAGGAGGAGGAGGTTCAAGAGCGCATCAAGATCTAGAGGTGAGTCAGACCTGCAATGTTGGTCGCTTTCTTACCATTTCATGCTGAAAATTTCTCCAGGTTTGTGCAATTCTTCAAACACAGCGAGTCCGGACTGAATGGAAATTGATTGATAGGATTGCTTGACTAGTTTCAAACTTCTCTAGTGATGTCTCACAACAAGGCTGTCGTATTAATCACAGGCATTGCCCTGACATTTGCAGCGCTCTGTGTCATCTTGGCAGTGAGGGAACCTGGGCCACGTTCGATCACAACATTGATTCGTGGGATCAACCATCTTCCGAAGAGCGCATTGCCGCCGTCATGGCTCTCAAAAGATGACATCAAGATGTCGCCCATGCTTCATGACAAGTCTGCATCCGTGATTATGACCTTCTCCCGCCATCAGCCGAAGAGGTCTGTGCAAGTGAAATCCATAGCTCCACTGTCCAAGGGCTCACAAGAGGAGCTATCGGCAAAGCCGATGAAGGTTGAACAGCACGCTGTTGTCAAGACTGTTGTCAATGCTTCCAAACATCACGAGAGCACCCCTGCTTCTCATACCTCTCGCAACAGCGTCGAAGCCATGCCAACTAAGTCTGAATGGAAAAGAATTGTGAAGAATGCTGAGAAAGAGGCAGAGAAGTTGGCCCAGAAGCATCCTCGATCCGTCCTTGGAGCTCACTGGCGAGACAGCGTAACACCCAAGGAGGACTATCAATCCCAGCTGCGACAGGACAGTGATGACGCAACTCGTGCAAACACCGATGCTCAGAGTGAGTCCCTGGCCTTGGAAGACGCTCACATGAAGCACGTCGGTATCTACCAGAAAGCTGCATGTGAGAAGAAGAGCGGCTGTGGTCAGGCACGTGGGGAACCTCACGTGAGGCCTTCTGGTACTGGAGGGAAGGTACAGTCGTCTTCCAAGAAACTTGCCCCTGCCAGGTACCCCGCCGTGTCTTTCTACGCCCAACTTCGAGAGGAGGATCCGCAATACAGGAAAGACGATAGTGGGGCAAAGCAGGGCAATGAAGATGAGGAGGAGCACCGAAAGCGCATGGCTCGTCTACGTCTGGAAACCAAACATTCTTTGCGGAGGTCGGATTCAAGGAGCGAGGCCCATAAGCCTGAGAGCTTCCAGGACTACATGTTTCGATTGTTCACAGGCAAGTCCAGTTTGTCGAAGGATTTTCACGATCACGCCAGATCTTCACAATTGTACAATGTTCCACGGGATGCATACTCTGAGGGTTTGCGACCTGATGGCAGTGAGCATGTCGTCCAGAATGCGCAAGAACGACTTGCAAGGAAGTGGCTGGACATGATGAGGAACCCTCCTCCCGTGACTAAGAACACTCGCCCCGACATGCTGGATCCCCGATCACTGGTGAGGGATCGTTGACGACCTGTCGCGTTAAGATCTTGCCTGCACCTTCGCCCTGACCTTCGATGTTCCACTGCAGGTCCTCCCTCGTTCAGATTTCAAGAAGAAACGAAAGGAGCTGTTGGATTTCAAGCACGCGATCCAGGCGTATGAGAACGACCCCCAATTCAACCCTGTCATCTTGATGCAGGTAACTTCGCCCTAACTGACGCTCCTCTTCTGTCTGTGTTGGTTTCACGTGTTTCATGCCAAGTCGACCTCACATGCGTCTGAAGCTGTCCCCTGCAGGCTCACAATCTCGTCAAGTACGGCATTCTCCCTCCCGAATCCGACAGGCCGAGCGTGTGGCGAGCATGGTACATGGAGATTACCGACAAGTACAGGCTGCTGAGTCAGGAGGTGGCAATGCTCGCGACGCCGCATGTCTCTCGGGACATGTGGGATCATGGAGATGCCGGTGACTGGTGTGGGACGGGAGGATGCAGGACACTGCAGAGGAGGGAGAGGGAAGGAACTCGACGCCACAGACCAGATCAGTTCGCCGCGCACTTGGCGGATGACTACGAGCGGATGCAGGCGGAGGGCGAGAAGGTGCCGCAAGGAGTAGTTGTGTCAGAGGTGAAGCGGGGGGAGGTGCCGTACAACTTTCCTGAGTCAGAGGAGGAGGCGGCAGGTGAGAACGGTAGGTCGGAGGGGGATGTGGCGAGGGAGTCGGACCATGAGGAGAGGGAGGGCCCTCGAGGGGAGGATGGCGAGACATGGGACTCCTTCCGGAGATCGTTCGCGGACCAGGAGCCCAACGAGGCGGAGGACGGGGGCATGAACGTGCATCGCGATGCTTCGGAGGGAAACAGCAGCAAGAGCGACCTGCAGCACAAGGTCGACAAGTTGAGCGAGGAGGTGCAAGACCTGTTGAAGGTCATTCACAAGGAGCCGCACGGCGAGCAAGGGGAGGCGAGCAAGGAGGAGGCAAAGGAACGTTCCTCGCAGGCTCGCGTGCGGTTGCAGGAGCAGAGGGGGCTGTCGTCCCTTGCTGCGAGAGGGAGCGTTAGCGATGCTGTTGCACGAGATCTGCAGCGTCTGCGGGTGGACGAGGAGAAGGTTTCGAGGGACAGGATGCGGCGGGAGCGCGGGGGGGAGGAGCACGCGGGCCGGCATGTGATGGACTGGTTGAGAGGGGCGTTGAGGGCGGCTGAGGGATACAGATCAAAGTAGAGGAGGAGGCTTGGTTTTTCACATTATTGTTTGATCCTTGTGAATGAAAATTTCCTTACTGTTGGCACTTGTTGTTATTGTTCCATATCACTCACATGCTGGTGATAGTGATTCGCAATCTCAGTGGTGAACTGTACTCTTGGCGCAAAGAGGAGGAGGAGGGAACTGTGGAGAGGGAGGGAGAGAGCGTGAGAGGGAGAGGGAGAGAAGGAATGAGGTGAAGGAGGGAGAGGACGAGGACGAGGACGAGGACGAGGAAGAGGGATGGCTGGTGAGGTGGAGGCTGGCCGAAGCGGGCGGCCGGGGGTCTGAAGGGAGCAGAGAGGGCGGAGGGGTTGGAAGGGAAAAGACTTGGGGCAGGGGGGCAAAAGGGGAGTGCAGGGAAAAGCAGGGGGTGAGGGGAGGGAGAGCGGGAGAGCGGGAGAGCGGGAGAGCGGGCGAGCGGGCGAGCGGGCGAGCGGGAGAGCGGGAGAGAGGAGGGAGAAGGAGAGTGGAGGAAGAGGGAGAGGTGCGTTGGTAGTCGGATTCGAGCAGGAAGGGAGGAGGGAGGAGAGGAGGGAGGAGAGGAGGGAGGAGAGGAGGGTGGAGGGGAAGGCAAGGGCTCAAACCATGCCCCACTGGGGAAAGCTGTCCTTCAGCAAGAACGGAGTCCGACCAGTGAACAG